CACTGGTCTTATCTGGGCAATCACCTTTTCAAAATCTTTTGGCTTGCCTCTGTTTGTCTGTATTCTTCATCAAAGCCCCTAAAAATATACAACTGACAGAAAATTAGAAATGATTTAAAACAATTTAACAAAATTAATCACAAATATTCACATAAGCAAAATCATTGTACATCAAGACTAGTTGAAAAATAAGTTAACAAATGGGGACAGTCAGTTAGGGAAGAGGCATAGAGGGGGAGGAATATGGTTTACTTAGTAATGTTAATAATATGAAAGGGGAATGGAAACAGAAAAAATACAAAGGAATAAATACATCTCACCTTTTTCTGGTTTCTTTAAGAAGAAAACTCAAACCTTTTCCTTTGAACTTCTCTGTCAGCTAACATGGCTCCTTGTGTTGCCCCTTATGCCAGGTTCTGCTTTTTTGTATCCTGTCATGGGGAAATAAAGAGGTCAAAACCCAACTGCTCAACATCAACTGACAAAATGTGAGATCAGGAAATTATTGTTAACTATAATAAAAATTTACATACAGCGCCTTATCCCATGGAATAAATATGTTCTTATAAAGAAATGCACCTGTTCAACTCTTGGATATTAACACATGTACCTGTTATAAATTTCCACTGGTCACTTGTGTGATTGTTCGTCTAGCTTTACCGTTAAACCCATTTAAAAATTCCCTACAATACATAATTGCAAATTAAAGCGAAATTTTATATCATAATTACTCACAAAGAGACAAATGTTTCTCGTCTTTATGAATAATTCGTACCAAAAAATCTTCAGGAACACTGAAATTATAGAAATATCTCGAAAGGAATTTTCCGCCATTAATTATACGAATAGTGTTCATGGTACCCTGCTCTTGATACCGGAAGTATGTCAAATGCGCATTTTTCCAATTCTCGGATCAACACAAAATCAGATCTACTATGAATTCAATATTTTTAAATGATAAGTAAATTGTTACTAAAATTATGAAAATATGTTAATCTATTTTTTTCTCCTCGATATTTCGGGGGCATGTAACGAATGTATTTTTAAAACAAACATGTTTGTATGTCAATATTTTTTTCTATATATAGATCTTGGCAATTGTAGCCATTTATGATGAGAACCTCGTAAGTTGTTAGAACCTGTGTTCAAACATTTGTATATTATTTATACAATAAAAAATATGTTCAAACCAGAGAGAGGGTAAATAATTTGGCTGGACAAATTAATTTTCGTCTTGCATGTAAGAACATTCAACAGTTAAAACATACAGTATTCAATACTCCTTGTTCACATGCTCCTAATTTAAAGGAAAAAAAAAAACAAATTTGGGCAATTACACTGCAGTGCTAATAAATGTGAGATATATTACGAAAACAGTTGAAAATTTTAGCGTTCATTTAAAAAAAATCGTGTCCATATCCCGTGATTATGCTATATATACATCTCATATAAATAGGCAGCTGTTAAACTCTTGGAGAAAATCAGTTCTTACTAAATCTATACTAAACCATGCATTCTTTTTAAGTCCAGTGACCGCTGGTTGTTCGTTTAACTTTACCGTTAAGCTTACTAGCAAATCTCTCTACCTGTTACAACGCACTTCACATGCAAAATAATAATAATAATAATAATAATAATATAAAAAATACTCACAAAGAAACCATTTTTCTCCTTTTTAGGAAATATTCGTGTCTTGAAATATTCAGAATCAGTGAAATATCTGGAAGAGGCTCGTCAGCCATTTTACTCATACTCATGATACTGCTCAGAACACTGTTCACGGTATGGGGAGTGTGTAAATGCGCATATATGAAACTCTGAGGTTAGCAGATTTTAACGTGAAAAGTTAATTGAAAGTTAAAATAATCACAATATGTCAATCTAATTTCTTTTCTTGCATGATATACGAGGGTTGTCCCAAAATTCCGTAGACAAGCGTCGTTTTATAGTAACCCAGTGTCATAAATTAATAAAATTTTCAAAATAACTAAAACTACTAACAACTAATATTTTTAGTGTAAAACATTGCGTAATTACAGATTTATCCTATTTAAATGAAATAATTCAATATCTGATGTAAAGAGGCGGCGCAATCTCAAAATTTGCTATTAAAAATCGGTATATAAAATGTAAAATCTCGCAAAAAAGAAATTTCTTGTCAAAATTTCGTGGGATAAAAGATAATTTCTCAAATTACATAAATATATATCTTTATTCCAATTTTAACGCATATGCCTTCATTAATAAGAAAGTTATAACGTTTATTCGCACTGGTTAGACGCAAAAATGACGCGGCATTGACACAGGCGGCGCATTGGAATACTGAGTATGATAATATGTAGATCGGAACTTTAATAGAGGTGCATTAGAAGACAAAAATGTTTGGAACACATAGATATATTCAAGTATGTATTATTTGAATGACATAATAAGTTCTTCAAGGTATATATGTAAAACGAAGCAAATAAAGAGACCAGCAGAAAGAAATAGACAAAGAAATCGTCGTCAAAGCTACACAGTGCGACTCCATTCGGAAAGACAAACAAAAAGTCCCTCAGAGATACGGAGATTTTTATGAATTATTAATAGATGCATGTAATTTAAACTTTTTTGGCGTATATTTTAATGTTAAGCACATCATAACAATTATAATATTTCAGATTTATTTCACAAATCTTAAAAAAAGTAGAAAATGTGATTCTGATAATTAATGCATTTTCCCCAAAAATTCGTACCGGTGACGTTTACGTATTTTTTGACGTCGAAGATTGCACCGGGTGGTAGGACACGGTAACATTAAAATTCCAATTAAACGTACGTTTTTCAAGTAATGATGTAAAAACTTCGTAATTTATCAGCTAAAAACACACTTTATACACCCACAAAATTATATAAAGATACCTTGATTTCTGCAATAGATATGAACTCAGTTTACGGATTTGGGGACAACCATCGTATATTAATATATGATTTTTCGGAGAGATAGAAAGAGAGGGGGGGGGGGTTATTTAGCTAAAAGCTTAACTTTCGCCCTAAATAATAGGTATAAGCACATATCGTTAACTTTACATGTACAAGCTCATAATACTCTTTATAATATTAGTTCACATACGTTGGCAAACAACTACTTGTACTCCACAGATAGCTTAGTTTATGCTTAATCATTTTGTTAAATGTTGAAAAATGATGTAATTTGATAACAATATCTTATTTCTGATCTGTTTCCCAGCTTTTTTGAGACAAAAATCTTTAAAAAATTTATGATCAGACCTCTTTCTTGACAAATTCTTACACTTTCTTTCTGCCGACTATGGAATTCGTCGACCCATGTTTTTTTTTTTCCCGGGGGGGGGGGGGTTACAGTACGCTTAAATTTTTGTATTCTGACATATTTTGGTATCTTAAAGCATTTCCTTTTGAAAGTTTTAAGCGATTCAATAGTGTCTTTATACAGCTTTTGAGCCGAATGGTCAAGTGAGTTTTCTGATCAAGAGGATGTGTCCACTATTTGAAAAGAATTGACCTTTAGGAGAGAACATTTTCCCGGAAAAAGTCACATTTTAAAATCAATGTTCATTAGATGTTAAATTACCACGTACATAAGTATGAATTTTCCAAATTTTGAATTTTTAGGTATTTGAACCTAAAATTTATTATTTACAACTTAAAAATCAACCTCCAGAGCTGGCCAAAATAGTATTTTGTCCGTTAAAGCACAGATTTTTGCATGAATTTTGGCCTAGAAGTCCTTCAGGGCAGACCTACCCCTAAATAAAATTATGATATTGGGTTGTGATGAAAGGAATAATTTAAGAGGGATTTTTTAGGGGTACCCCTGCCCTAGAGCCTAAATTCACAAAGAAAAAAATACAAAAATAAGGAAACGTGTTTTATAAAACCTAGTTCGAATTTATACATTCCATTTTCAAAGCCAGAATAGCTAGATTGGTGAAACGTTGAGTTTATATATACATCGAATATATTTTTCACTCGGGAATAAGTTATGCTTACAATAGGTGTTCAGATCTTTACAAGAGATTATATAGAAAGAAATGTATCCAAGAGTGGCAAGATCACACTAAATCATATTATGAAGCAAAACTTACCAAAAATATGTGGAATAGTCCCCCCCCCCTTTTTTTTTATTGTAAGCCCCTTTTTTATTATGAGCCATGGGGTTAGGGTTGGGCTGAAATCAGAGATCCAAATTGACATAATGCATGTGTACAGGAATTAGAATATTCTCCAGAACAACAAATGCATTTTGATTATATCCTTACTGAAACATCCAAATGTTGTGTGGATTCAACCTTTGATTAAATCATAACTCCCTTAGGGCTAGAGTTGGTCCACAACATGAAGTCAAAATTGTTATGAAATTAAAGAGGGAAATAAAAATCAGTTAACTGTTGGGTAAAAGCGACTCAAGTGAGTGTTATGGCCTATGGGCCTCTTGCTTCACTTTGTACTTGATACAAAGAAACATAGCTGACCCTTAACTTTTCTGCCCAATATAGTTTTTGGCTCCTTTGGTCAAGATATGAACACAGAAGGAAATTTGTGTGTGGCATCAACATTCATTTAATAATGGCCTCTGACTTAACCTGGGTCAACTAGAAGCCTCAATAAATGTTCATTTGGCAGGAAGAGTATTGTGACCCAGTTCACACTGAGATCCATGGGCCTCTTGTAAGCTGTATGCCATCCATGGATGGAGATTCATAGTACAGTAAAACATGCTTAGAGTGACTTATAATGAATTGTTGCTTACAGCGAAGTGATTTTCATTCCCCTGGGCTCTAAAATATATTGTGAATATGCAGATCACTCACGTCATATTGTGATTGGATATAATGAATTAAATGCACAATGAAACAAAATCGTCCCTTCCTAGCACTTGGTTATAAACAATTTTACTGTATTGTATAATAATTGATATATCATATCTTCTTATTTAATTCTATATCCTGTATATTATTTAAAATACTTGGTAAGAATAGTTGTTTTAATATCATTTATTCAAAATCACAGTCACAGATGACACAATAGAAGTAGAGGTATTATGAAGAATACACGTACTCTGTACACGAGTGTACACAAATGGTGGTAGCAAACAAGTAGCACTTAAATTAATACATGTATTGCTTAGCAAGGAGACTTAAAACAGTTCCAACTTCTAAATTTCTGGAGAAATTAAAAAGATAAATAGAATGTTCACATTTGGAATCCACTCAAAATATATAACTCATAACACACTCAGACATTTGGTTTACAAACAAAAAAACTTTTTAAGCTGATACCATATTCATCAAACAATAAAATAATGATCAAAATATACAAGCAGTACTTAAATTTACATGATTTACTCCATTATAACTTTTTTTTTATTGATTTCTATTAAACATTTTTTATTCATGCATTATTAAATATAAGTCAATATACAGTACTTCAAAAATTATTTTTTTTTTGTCTTAAGAAGACAATTTCAATACCAATCTTGACAAGCAATTAGATTACAATAAATCATTAAGTAAAGATTTTTTTTTTCTAAATTGCATTTTGGCACAAAAAAAATAGCAAGATCTTTATACAAGTTTAAAAAGGAACACTGTCCAAAACTTATCACATGATAAAGGAAGTTAATATTTGGATCACAATGCAAACTGTTTGTCTTATCTTCTCCAACACTGAAGGAAAAGATATTAAAATCCTACGCCAGTATAAGTTATGCAAAAATATGCAAGCTTTCTATACTATGTTGGCCAATCAGAAAGTGTGTGCATTTCTGCAAACTCCACACCCCAAAGCAAATTCTTCTCCTGTGGGTGGGTGCTGGACATGAAGGGGGCACTCCTCACCCTCAAGCTGTTTCCCTCTGGGCCCTGTGAAATAAATACGATGGTTTATTATGACATAGAAAATTATTTTTACTTTCACAAAGAGCTTCAGATAAACATATGTTCATCGATATTACTCAAAGTATTTTTCCTATGGTCCAAAAGGATTAATTACAGCTGAAAAAGGTCCCAGTAATAATTTTCATCTTTAAAATAACAGAAAGGATAGACTTACCAGCTGGGCAGTGAGGCAATTCCGTCTTGGCAATAGACGTCACCCTCTGGAAATCATCATGGCATGCATTACAGAAGTGAGTGGTGCCAAAGCAGAAGAAAACAGCCACAGAACAACAGTACCGACACTTGTACTCCAGAAAATCAGTTCCATGTTTAGGACACATCTAAATATAATGACAGCATTGAACATTGTGATCAACTCAATTTTTGTAATTAGCCTTTAATCAGAAATAGGTTTCAGAGGGCTGTCATTAGTCAGAAATAGTCGAACTCGGGTTCATTTCAGAGGTTGTCATTAGTCAGAAATAGACAAACACAGGTTCATTTCAGAGGGCTCAGCACCAATACCTTAGTAGAATACAATCTACATGTGAACCACATAATTTTAAATCTTCAAACTGTTCTTAAGGTACTGTACCAGTTACCAGGGTAGTAAAATTTAGCTTATTTTTATCATTTTATTTTAACTTGACTGAAATGCTTAATGGTATGTAAATCTTAAATTCTCATCTTTAACTACAGTACATGATATATGTACCTGAGCTCTTGATACATCCGAGCAGCCTCCACACACCAACTCCCGGGGATCATAGTCCTCGGCCACACCAATCTGTTCATCACAGCGAGCCTCCCCTCCATAATAGGCCTACAGTATCACAGTACAGACATCCACAGTGAAAAGATTTTTATAGCATATTCATATCCTTCAATTTTACAATTTTAAAATTTTGAAATGAAAATATTTCAATTAAGACCTATTTCACAATGCAAAGTGTAGATAGATTAATTTAGTACCTTCTTGCACTTATAGCAGACATAATATGCATATCTGTCCATGGCAAATCCTGCAGGGTCTTTGTAGAAGCGAGCTCCTGGTGTGGTGATAGCCTCTGCCTTGTGCAGTCCCTCATATTCCAATCTCATCAACGCTTTTCTCTTTACATCACTAAACAAGTCTCGGATTGGTTTTAGTAACTCTCTCAATATAGGATGATCTATTGGGTTCTGGAATGCAGAATATTAATGAAATGTTTATCAATAGGGCCTCCTATTGGGAATAACACGATTCAGTTTTAGGAATATAAAATACACATGTTCTGTTTATCTCACCTTACATATTGGACAAAGTGAAAATCCAAATGTAATCCTAGGTCCCACCCATCTCTTCTCCAGTATGTTTCTGGAGCAGTGAAGATGGAAAACATGCTTACATTTCAACTGAAAGAGAAAAATTTAAACATAGTCCAAGACAAAATCGATTGCTTCAAATTCATACAAATATAAAGATCATGCCAAATTTAACACAAACCTGAATAGCTGGGGCTGCAGAAAGTGCCTCAGTGAAGCAGATCATGCACATGTCATCTGCATCCTGTTTGAGTTTGCCCTGATAGGGTGGACAGTTGTGTAGACAGGGCAGACATTCTTCCTCATTAGCAATCCCTCCACACTGATGTCCACAAGCCAGCACTTTCTGACAGGCATTTTTGGCATGTTCCTTGAATACAAAATGTTAAATGGATCTGTCACCATCATTTGAAACTGATAAACTTGAATTCCTAACAAATAGATGTATGTAACTGTTGATATGCTTAATTTAGTAATTAATATGCTTTTAAATCTTGTTAACAATCAATGTACAAAACTTAGTTTATGGAAACAGTGAATTACTGTCATATAAATCACATTTTCTCCCTGCACTGGTGGTCAGAACATACATCAAGATAATGTAAAGTGGTATACCATGTTTAAATTCTGAACAAAGAACTTCAAAATGAACTTGTTATATAGATACATGGACATATATACTGTAGTATAAATGAACTGCGTTATCTTGAACACTGATATATCAAATACAAGGGATATGTTTTTTTTTTATGTTTGTTAACCTTGTTATCTTTAATCCTTGGATATCACAAAGTTTAATCTGGGTTCTGCTTAGTTCAAGATAAGGAGGTTGGACTGTATCTAGACAAGGAACAACTTGAAACGTGATCAATGTAGTACCTGACATTCTGGATCAGAGCAGACATTACCCACAGCCAACACTCCTGTTTTACTGGTGGTTCCACAAAATCGACATCTACCAGGACCAGAGGTGGCAGCTGTAGACTTCCCTGTAAATAGTCAAATCTTACATCTGATAGGAAGAAGAGATATTGGTGTAAAACACTTTTACCTCATCAAATGGAGTAAAAATAAACAAAAAAAGTAAATAAAATCATCTTATTTTTAATTATTTTTGGAAACTGAGATGCATATTAAAGAAAATATCCATGTAGAGATAAAGTTATGCTATTATAAAGAAATACCTTCCCTGAATTCCACCATGGCTTTGAGAGCTTTAGAATCAGCAAGAGCCATCACCCAGAAGAGCTTGGTTCTGCCACAACCTTCATGCAGGTCCACCTTAATGGCTTCCTCTTCTTCCTTAAACACCTACAGAGAGGAAAAGATTGAAAGGCACAATTTCTTCTGTGTAAAATATCTGTCATACATTACTAATATAGAACTAGTGCATGTCCTGACTCTTCCTGCATAAAAATTTTCTTGTTCATTTTTTTTTAATTGACAAAAAACCTCAACTCAAGACTGAGTCTATTTGGGATACATAAACATGGAAACTAGCTACAAAAATTTGCATTTCCTGAAGAATAAAAAATTACAGTAAGTTTTACTTCCTTATAATTGGGAATTGTTTATCAACAAGTTTTCTGTAACCATTTTTTTGTTCAAATTTTACATAGAGAGGGTTTCACTGTCAGTGAGATTTACTGTACCTGTCTCTGGTGAGATCGTTTGTTCCTCGGTAGATGAAGGAATCGGTCACAGTCAGCACACAGGTTCCCACACTCACTACACAGAATAATGGCCTGTGTCTCTCCATCGTCATGGTTATCACAGGTAGGCTGAAAATCATCAAGATTGTTTGTCTAACATGTATCATGATGGATGATTAAAACTAATACATGTCATTTTAAACACTCAAGTGTGGTAATTCATGATTGCTCTAATAAATTGAAGAGAATGATTGCACGACTGATTTATATACATTTACATTGGTTAGATCTGGTCTTCTTACCCTAGGCTGTCCATGCTGACCATTAGGACTGCTAATCCATTGACCAGAGGTCAGTCTCTCTACATGATCCTTGTCCAAGACACAAAGTGAAGCCAGGCACAACCACAGCTACATGTACATTGTAAAAATAATGATATCGAAGTTAAGAACTAATACATTTTTTCATAAAAATTGTAATTTTCTTATTCTTGAACTAATTCCTGTTAAAGAGATGTGCAGAAAAATATCCTTCTATCATACATGTACAAATCTTTTGTGCAAATTAGGATGAAAATATGATCTCTGTAAACAGACTTACTGTTGGAGTTTTTAGGCAGACTTGAGGATCCCTGTACTTCTCTCCAAGTTTGGTAAGATTCAGAATAGACTCAGCAATGGCTGCCTTGGTGACTGGTGCCCATGTCTCTGACAGCTGACCCTGGTTGCAAAAAAAAGTTTTTTGTAATAAGCATTCAAAGAAGTCATTAAAAATAATGTACTAGTTGACTGACTCAAAATTTATTAATACTTACAGAAGCCATGTCTTGAATAAGTGTAATGACATTGTTTGCTAAACTTTCACTGATTCTTCCTCTAAACCACCAGCGAGATTTTGAGGCACTGCAAAAGACAATAAATTCTCCAAGTTACAGATCTCATAACTTTCAAGTCTCATTTCAGCATGAAAAGCAAGTACTTATTTTTCTGTTGAAATGAAATCTTGATCGTTGTGATCCTGATTCTTAGCAGACTTACGTTGATCCAAGACAGTCTTCTACTTTAACTGCAGTAATCGTTTTTTGTGGTCCACTGATCTTAATCTTTGTTTGTACTGTCAAAGCCTTGCTGATACATGCTAGTAAAACATCTAGAAGACCTGGTTGTTCCGGGTCAAAAATGACACTCTCGTCTCGACTGGCTAGGCTGACAATGCTGTATTCTACAGGAGGTAGGGATGGTACAGACAGTATACTGGACAGGGTCTGTGGTTTTACATCTTGTAAAACTCTACGGAGAACTGAGATCACCTAAAATAAATGTTCATTACTTTTATTTAGCCGATACAGATAACTACAACATGCCCAGTGTAAGTATACAAAATACTGCTTTTTAAAAAAATTCATGTGCATATAATTGGCCATTCTGAAAAAAAAAATCGTTAATTATCTGATTAAGCGGACATCACCTTAATAAAAACAATTTTCATATCTTTACTTTTAATGAAAATAAATCATCTCCTATGAAATAAGGAATAATTTAGCTCACCTGTCTCTGAACCCTTGGAGTGCCTGTATGAAGCAAGCTAAATAGATCCTGTAGCAGGGGGTACTGTTGAGCTAAGTAAGCCCTCCCTACACTTGAGCCACTGAGAGCCAACACCATGGACAGCAGTTCAAAGCAATACACATCCTGATCACTATAATGTGGGGAAATATACAATATTACACTAAATCATAGTTAGTTTCTTGATTGTATATTTCAAATAACTATTTAATGTTTGTGCAGAATAACATTCTTACCCAGTCTGATGAATATGATTAGGATTTATCAGACTAGCCTCCCATTCTTCTCGGATCTTTGTGGATTCTTTCCTAATGCCTTGTACAATATGTGAACACACCTGAAAGAAAAAAAATGTTGCAGTAACTGATATATCAAGGTCGTAACTAGGCTCAAATTTTTAGTGAGGCAATGGATCTAGGGGTAGTCCCAGGGTAGTGTCCCTGATAGGGATTCTCAGGGAGGGGAGAGTTCCCAAAACCTGAGTTTTAGCAAATTAAAGACTTAATCTTTGAAAGTTTTCAGTTTTGAATTATTTTTTATATGCATTCTAAACTATCATGAAGCACCTGGTGAGATGATCCATTCACGGAAATTGAAACTGAAGTTGAAAGTATAATTTAGTACAAAGACATACTTAATTAATTTAAGATCAAAGTAAAACTGTTTCACTCTTTAGAAAACTCTGAATTTTTAGTGAGGCATTTGCCTCACTTGCCTCAATGGTAGTTACAGCCTTGTACAGTGGACCTTCAGATATCTGGACGCCAGATATCCGGACGCTTCAGTTTCCGGACGATTTTTAATAGGAACGAAAATTTTTAACGTTATTTTGTCTCGTTTAACCAGAATTCCGCGTTCCGTATCCGGACGATCTTTTTTCACCACAAAATGAATTTTTACATTATATTTTGGTTCATTTATCCGGACGATAATTTTTTAACTGGTCTGTCAAGTCTGCTCAAATTTCTTGATCTGGGTGTTAATTGTTGTAAAAACACTGGTCTGGCCGTTTGTTTTTAAAGATGATCACCTGCGACCTGTTATCAATGGCTTGCGGCAAGGTTAATTGTAGGTCGATATAGGTACGCACGAGACTCTCGCTTCTCTAACATGGTTTTGATACGTATTAATTAAGGAAAATAATTTTATAAGTCTAGGATAGTTTTTTCGTAGTCGGCAAATGTTAGAATACAGTCGTAACATGGTATTATGTATATCTATAGACATGACATCGGAGGTTTTTATGCACAGTATTTTGTGCGAGAAACGCATTCTATAAATTGATGACACTTAAAATCACTTTCAAAATTACACAATCGTTAATACGATCTTGCTTTGAATGATTACGATTAGCGTTCGGATACATAAATTATGCAAATTATGTCACATTTAGCATTGATGGGCGTTCATATTAAATAAGACTCTACCGACAGTACCGTACCGACATGGCTACTAGGAGAAGTTGATTCATTAGACACTGGGAAGGAGAAATACACTGTAATAAATGTGACCATATAAACACTTTTTTTTGTCCAGTGACACATGTACATTTTTATTTATTTAAACAAGTATTGAGTAGTACTAACTTATATTAAAGTATTTAAACAATAAAACATATTGGTAAAAAGCAACATTCTTTACTATTGAAATGGTATGAAAGGCCATGTAACTAAAATCAAGGCAATTCAGGTATCCGGACGCTTCACATATCCGGACAAATTGACTGGGAACCAAAGCGTCCGGATAAATGAGGCTCCACTGTATATGTCTTATGTCTTCTAGCCAATGGACATGTAAATGGTAGAGCACAATGCAGAGTAAAGTGTTTAAAGAACAATTCCTATTTTCTACCACAGTGACTTTTTAAAACTGTCAAAAGTTTAAAATGTACCATTTAGAAATCTCTCATTGGACATTTCCTGTACGTTTGCTGTACATGTAATTACAAATGTATGTACCCCAGTATGTACTACACACACTGACCTGTCTTTGGAGGTGGGACAGCTTGCTGCGACTAAACAGGATTCCCACCATGTGTTCCTTGAGATCATGATCTCCATCCAAGCTATCACCTCCAGCTCCATCCACAAGCTTAACTTTCCCTGCACCATCCAGTGTTATCAACTTGCCAAACACCTGATTAAAACTATCTTAATTAGACATCTGTAAATTCTGTATTGTAAACGACTGATATACATTTGAATTCCATTTGAAACAAGCAACCTAAAGAGGTAAATATGGCTTTTTCTCTATGCATACTTTTTCACCACAGGTTCATTTGACAATATCTAACAGAAGATAAAAATAAAACTACAGTACAATTGGTATATATGTACCATGTGGTTTAAATTTTGAGATAAACCATTGTTGAAGACACTTTTTTTTAAAATATTGATTTATTGAAAATAGTTATCTCCCTTAGTAGGGGGTCATTCCATCTTTAAGTCATGGAACTTAAAACTAAATAGATGCTAACCTGTGATGTAAGCATTCTGAAGACCCTGAGTGTCTCTGATTCACAGTTCTCCTTCTGCATGTCCACTGCTGACTTTTTGATGGGGAGGCAAGTCTCCTGCCCCTCCATTTCACCAAGGATCTTGATTTGCCTCACCCTCAAGCTGTGGTCTGGTCCCTTCATTTCCAGCTGTATCACACGAATGTGAGGGACAGAAAACTGACAGGACAACCAGCCCACATAACGTGACTCCACATCAACCTACAATTATTTATTTTAAAGGTTAGGTTTAGGACTCATAAAATTTGTTAAGATAAAGCTTAAAAATAAATAAATAAATAAAATGACAAAAATATGGAATTGAGGACATAATGGCTGACCTGGTGGAACTTTTTCAACTCATCTGGTGAAGGCCCCACAGAGAAACTCAAACTCCCAACTTTGCTCTGTAATAAAAAATATACATGTCATATAAACATTTTATTTTTGCTTTCATCCCAGGAGGATAAAATTGTAAAACCAAAAAAAGTGCTACTTTTAATTATTTATGCTAAACAAAGATATTTCGCATAACTTTGTTAACAATAATGCCATCTGGATTTTTTTTTACCTCAGTAGATAATTTTATATGCTTGATTGCTCTGATGACAACCATCCTTGGTCGAAACAAATCAACGAATCAATGAAATAAATCTACTTTTGCATTCTCATGATGTTTTGTTGATCTGTTTATGTCTACATATTTATGTAAAATCAAATTGAGACTGAACTAACCCCCAGATCCCTGGCATTATCAATGTGTACATAGATGATCCTGGCTGAAGCCTTGACGTGGCATTTAATGGTGATAAACTTAGACCTGTTCCTGTCCTCATCTCCGCTCTCCCAGAATGTCTCTGTGGAATTGTCCGTCAGGCTAGCTATCATGGCCTGCCGACTTGAGACAGAAATGTCTGAGGATGGGGTCAAATCTTTCAGCTGATATATCTTGACAGATGACTGCAAACAACAAAAAATGTTAAATAGAAGAAAACACATTGATATTGATATCATCTCTCTTTTTTGTAGACTAGACATATATACCCGGTATGTACTCTATTTTAAAATGATTTATTATTTCCTTCTGTTCACAATTACAGTAAAGAAAATGATTTAAAAATTTTAAATTGATTAATGTCAGCATGATTTTACATGAGTTATGTTGAGACAACCATTATAATTTTGATCCCTCACCTGTGGAGCCTCTGTTGCATTCTCCTCTCTCTCTTCCTCTGACTTACTCAGGATGCGGCTAATGTTACTGAACACATGACACTCGTGTAAGAATTGGTGATCAGAGGGCTGAAACTTCAGGCACCAGCAACGAACCGCAACTTGCTGTGAATGGAGTAAAAACAGCACAATCAAACCTATTTGTTTTAACTTTTTTTTTTTGAAACATATATTTTTTGAATATCTGTATTTGTTATCATTCCAAAGAGAAAACTGTAAATTCTGTACTCACTTGCAATGCTGATCCCCATGGCAGGAACATCATGGCATCTGCTATGGTCTGTAGCAGCATGTGGAACACCTCAGGAAGGGGCTCTACCGCTGACCCAGCAATGGTTATGTCCGATAGGGGATGGTCACACAGAGGAACATCCTACAATTGATATCCAAACTATGTAGTCCAAGAGAAATAAAGTATAAAATAAAAGAGCAAAATACCAAGGAGGTCCCTTTTTAGGGTTTATTATCTACACATCTGCACTTTTTAAACAATTTCTACTCCAACAATATAAATCCTTGATTAAATTTCAACAAAAAACAAGATGTGTTTGTGAAACACTGATGCCCCCGTATGGCAACTTATAGCGATGGTTAAACTTTCTCAAATGCAAATCAAATATGATGGTACCCAAAGTAAGGTCTTGTACCAAGGAATATACCTGTGAAATATGAAAGCCTTAGCAGCAACCATTGAAAAGATATGGAAAAGGTTAAAGTTTTTCAAAAGTAGGTCAAACTCCAATGCCACAGTCAAAGGGTCAAAGTTGTTGGTATCCAAAGGAAGGTCTTGTCACAAGGATTGCATACATGAAGTATGGCCAAGGTTAAAGTTTTTTTCAAAAGTAGGTCAAACTCCAAGGTCAAGGTCAAAGGGTCAAAGTTGTTGGTATCCAAAGGAAGGATTTGTCACAAGGATTACACATGTGAAGTATAAAAACCCTAGCATTAACCGTTCAAAAGTTATAGCCAATGTTTAGGTTTTTCAAAAGTGGGTCAAACTCCAAGGTCAAGGTCAAAGGGTCAAAGTTGTTGGTATCCAAAGGAAGGTCTTGTCACAAGGATAACACATGTGAAGTACAAAAGCCCTAGCACCAACCATTCAAAAGTTATGGCCAAGGATAAAGTTGGGAACAATTTCGTAAAACTGGGTCAAACTCCAAAATCAAGGTCAAAAGGTCAAATATGATGGTACCCAAAGAAAGGTCTTGTCACAAGAAATATACATGTGAAATATGAAAGCCATAGCTTCAACCTATCAAAAATTATGAGCAATGTTAAAGTTTTTGCGGACAAACAGACAGACGGACGGACAGGGCAAAAACTATATACCCCCGAATCCTCGATACGGGGGCATAAAAAGCTTTAAAAGTGCCAGTATAAAAAAAGTGTGTAAATCAGACTTTTAAGTTCATTTTCTTTTTCTTATTAATCGTTGAAAGAATTTATTTCCAAATATTTACATTTGAAAATGCTTTTCTTTATATAACACTATTGAAAGCAATTTGTATCTATATCCGTATAAACACGGGTTCCTCACGTCATAAACGTTCAACGTAATTTCTCAGTGATGTCATAAAGGGTCAATGCGCAATCAATGGATTAAACACGTGCCGGTGAGTTTGAAAAATAAAACACTTCACATGTTAAAGATTATAATCAGGCGAATATAAAATATAAATGAGTCACAAATGTGAATATAAGTAATAAGGTATTATTTTTAAACATCTATCAGGATATAAATACGGGTTGGTACGAGATCAAATTTACCATAAAGACCTTCGAGCTTTATGGAATTTGATCTCGTGACCAACCCGTATTTATATCCCAATAGATGTTTAAACATAGGTAATCAGAGATTACAGAGCTCACCTCAACGAATGTTGTCTTTAAGTAAGGCAAAGTCCCACACTAAACTAATAATCTAGGAGTGTGCATCCCTAGATGCAACATTTATGTTTTTGGTCTGATAGGGCTTGCAGTTACTTGGGAATTGACTTATCTGAAAAGTTAAAACTAGTCACTCATCCAGAAAATGTAAGTCAAATCCAGCATCCGAAGCAAGTTTTGAGATTGTTCGTCCCTTGATGCATCATCCATGCAAGTTTGGTTCAGATAGGCCTTATAGTTACTTGGAAATGAGATCTGCTCCAAAAACTTTAACCTGGTTATACTCATCCGGAAAATGTAGGTCAGATCCAGCATCCGAAGCAAGTCCAGTAGTGTGAATCCTTAGATGTATCATCCATGCAAATTTGGTCAATATAGGGTTTATAGTTACTTGGAAATGACATCTGCTCCAAAAACTTTAACCTGGTTACTCATCCGGAAAATGTAAGTCAAATCCAGCATCCCAAGCAAGTCCAGTAGTGTGCATCCTTAGATGTATCATCCATGCAAGTTTAGTCAATATAGGGCTTATAGTTACTTGGAAATGAGATCTGCTCCAAAAACTTTAACCTGGTTATACTCATCCGGAAAATGTAGGTCAGATCCAGCATCCGAAGCAAGTCCAGTAGTGTGTATCCTTAGATATATCATCCATGCAAGTTTGGTTCAGATAGGCCTTATAGTTACTTGGAAATGAGATCTGCTCCAAAAACTTTAACCTGGTTATACTCATCCGGAAAATGTAGGTCAGATCCAGCATCCAAAGCAAGTCCAGTAGTGTGCATCCTTAGATGTAACATCCATGCAAGTTTGGTCAATATAGGGTTTATAGTTACTTGGAAATGACATCTGCTCCAAAATTTTAACCTGGTCACTCATCCGGAAAATGTAAGTCAAATCCAGCATCCCAAGCAAGTCCAGTAGTGTGCATCCTTAGATGTATCATCCATGCAGTTTAGTCAATATAGGGCTTATAGTTACTTGGAAATGAGATCTGCTCCAAAAACTTTAACCTGGTTACTCATCCGGAAAATATAGGTCAGATCCAGCATCCGAAGCAAGTCCAGTAGTGTGCATCCTTAGATGTATCATCCATGCAAGTTTAGTCAATATAGGGCTTATAGTTACTTGGAAATGAGATCTACTCCAAAAACTTTAACCTAGTCACTCATCCGGAAAATATAGTTCAGATCCAGCATCCGAGGCAAGTTCAGTAGTGTGCATCCTTAGATGTATCATCCATGTAAGTTTGGTCAATATAGGGCTTATAGTTACTTGGAAATGAGATCTACTCCAAAAACTTTAACCTAGTCACTCATCCGGAAAATGTAGGTCAGATCCAGCATCCGAAGCAAGTTCAGTAGCATGCATCCTTAGATGTATCATCCTTGCAAGTTTGGTCAATATAGGGCTTATAGTTACTTGGAAATGAGACCTGCTCCAAAAACTTTAACCTGCTCCAAAAACATTAACCTGGTCATTCTTTAGGTGAAATTGCAGCATCTGAAACCTTGACTGGTACAATAAAACACACTAGAAGCATCCTCCATGCATCTCTGACAAATATAGGCCATAGAAGTACTTGAAAAGACAACTGCTCCAAAAACCTTAACCTGGGACGCCGACACCGACGGTATTACATAAGCTCCCCCAACTTCGTTGAGGTGAGCTAAAAATGATACCTTATTTCTTAATTAAAAAGGTGCCCCTTTGAGTACCTCATGGTCCTTTTTAGGAGGATCCTTCTTTTTCTTCTCCTTGTCTTTGTCCTCCTCCTCCTCTTCCTGCTCCTCTTCTTCTCCTCCTGAGGGCATCAGTGAGGACACAAAGAACCAGAGGAGATCATGTAAACACACAGTTTGGGTGATGCTCCTCAGTAGCCAGTTCAGTGCCTGTTCATTTAATTATAAACCAAACATAAGCATGCATCCACACTGTACAAGAGTAAAATACATACAATTTTGAAAAAAAAAGCCTAAAAATTTAAGACTTTGCATTTTGACTTTAAATACATTTGTTCTGATGATATTTTTTAATGAAGAAAACTCACCTGCATGGCAAACACCCTACATGCAGACTTCCTCAAGGCTTGCTTCATTGCTAGCTGTAGCCCCTCTAGGTCATGTCTCTGTGTGATGAATGACATCACAGGCCTCTGCAGAGCTCGCTCATCATCCTCCGGACACTTCCTGTCCACCGTGTGTAGTAACTTCTCCATGGCAGCAGATGGATGCTTTAACAAAGACATTCCACCATCTACAAGAATAAAGGTTTACATTTATTTTTCACATGTTATATTTCAACAGAGCACTGAATTGAAAAGAAGGGATGGTAATATATACCTCCTACACCTCCACTATTATTCCTGCGGCGACCAGACACCATCTTCTTGTCATTATCCTGCTCCTTGCTGTCATCCGGCACGATTTCTGAAAGACTTCTCTGGAAGGCTCGACTCTTACCAAACAGTTCATCACTAGAATCTGGGCTGGTGCCAGCACTCTTTGGAATCTGTTTTGTTTCATGATTGGCATTCTCTGAATTGAAATCCTGTAATACAACCATATTAAGATTAATTATTATTATCATGTACATGTCATGTATTTAGTTCAAAGTTGGTTTAAAAAATAAGGATTTTCTGTATATCTTTTAAATTACTTTACAAAGCATTTGACAACAGATTTTAGCATATACAATATACATGTATCAGTATCACTGTATGTATAAAGTACACTATAATATAGTTTGATTATTAATAAATGAATAAATAAGATCTCTGAGCACTTACTCTTGGACTGGGTGGTGAGATATGGGAGGATATGTGTGACCTTGAATCCTGACCCAGTGACCCTGATCTTGCCAGAGGACTATGTCGTGGTTCAGTTGGTAGCCTTGGTCTGTAAGCAGGTTGTCTCTCCCTGATGCTCATTGACCCTGATCTAACAAACACCCTCTCATCTGCATCTATGTAAACTTCTTCTGCAAATGCAGAATCTGCATTCTGGCCTCCTTGTAATGCAAGAAACTGGAAGGGAACTGGTGGAAAAGGGTTCAGTTCCATCCCATATTCCTCATTGACACTGGGTAGTAACAGATCTGACCTACTTTGAGGAAGCTTTTTTGACTGGGTAGGGAGTGTTAGTCCTGAAGCACTTGCCAGATCTAACAGGAACATAGCATTACTCTTTAGAACTGCATGCGACTCTTGAGTATACAAAACTGTCTGCTGGCGATTCTGCGATGACTTTTTCTTCTGCTTTTTAGCTTTGTCTTTTTCTCTTTGTGAGTGTCTTTTCTCCTTTAGGCACTTTTCCCTACACTTCTCACAAATTAAGTACCAACTGCTTCCCCCAAGTCCCCCTTCTCCACAGTTCCCTGCCCAACCCCCACAGAAGATCCCACTGCTATTGTATCCCTTCCCTCCAGCATGTCGTCCACAGCCAGGGTGAGCCTGTCTCATATGGTAAGTCACAGGATGGGGGAACATTCCTCCACACAATTCACACTGTGTCTCCCCCCTATCCCCACCATCCCTCCCTCCCAGTGGCCCCATCATCATGTCCCCCATAGCATTTCCTCTCCATATATGTTTAATCTCATCCTTCTTTTTACGATTAGCTTTTTTGTCCTTCTCTTTCTCTTTTTCCCTTTTTTCACTCTTTTTAGCTTTGAGCATTACAGCAGGACTAGGATTGACTGTAGAGAAATTTAAAGGTTTTAAGGTTTAGTTATACAAGTAAACTCAACATACTTTTCAATCAAATTCTTAATTCACACCAATTTTTTCCAGCCAAATGAATTACATTATGAAATAATCATGGAGATCCTTAAAACTGCGAACTTTTAATTATAATTTACCTTGTTTTTGGTCAATGACTTTCAGTACACCAGAAGACATCTCTTCCCAGAAATACACCAAATGATGAAGTGTGGGTGGGAGGGGTGAGTCTTTATCTGGTTCAATCCCTTCCTTAAAGAATCCAACATTTCCCTCTGACTTGTGCCGCATTGCCTTCTTCTGTCGCGCCTCAATGATTTTTCTGCCATCTGACATGGTTCGCTGAATCTCTGCCTTCTCTGCACATTTGCTTGACTCCTCTTTATCTGACTTGTCAGACTTGTCGGACTTTTCAGAGTCACTTCTAACAAACCTTGGATCTAGTTTAAATCTCACCCTGGACTCATTAATGTTAATGTTCTCTTTCTTCTTGTTTATATCTTTACTAGAGTCTGTTGCATGTCTTACTCTCATCTTTTCTGGTTTAGCTCTGTTAGCAAATTTTGACATTTCCTTCTGAAGGTCTGGGTGAAATTTCAAAAATGATGCACATGCCATGGCATCATGAACAATGCCCTCATGCCACAAGAATGCTGCAAAAACAGCTCTCAGACATTCGGCTACTGAGGGAGACAAAGCCTCCTTCACTGGCTCCTTCTTGTCGTAGATCACAGATGTGGAAGAGGAGCGAGCTCGTATTATTGGTATACTGTCTCTTGAGGAGGGGGAATCTGAGCGTTTGGACCTTAAAGACCTCCCTCTGTCTTTTCTCATGGACTTGGGAGACATCCTTTATTCAAAAAAGGAACATTGACAATTTAAGATTATAAATCTGGATGATTCTAAAAAGAAAATCAAACCATAAAAAATTAAGATTTTTTTTTTCTAATGTAAATGTACCTATTTTAGCTAATTTATATACATGTATGTTTACAGTGTACAGAAATGCAATAAATTACCTGGACTCCTCTTTGGGTGAGGATGAACCAATACTGAAGGTTGGAATGGGAGAGCCCCCTGTTCCTGGTGAGGCCCTGGCACCAGGATTGACAGGTGATGACCTAGCATTAGCACTGAGAGGGGAGGCCCTGGAACCAGCATTGACTGGTGATGCCCTGGACTGACTAGTTAGTAATGGACTGGAGGCTCTTCTCTGTGGACTGTTTAATGAACAATTACAATGCATCATTTTAAAAAGAAACTGGATTTTAATAGAGATTTATATACTTGAGATGAATCATTTTAAAAAGAAATTGGATTTTAATAGACATTTATATACTTGAGATTTTTTATTAAGTTGTTATTAAATTTAACTCAAAAAACAACAAAAATTAATAAAAACACTCAATGAGGCTAACCTAGTACTTCTCACTGGTGAAACATGTCCACCAAAACTATCTCTCCTTGCAGGACTCAAAATACCCTGTCCTGAAGGCGGAGCTATCTTGCTGACATCTGTCTGTTTATGTTTGAGAGACGGGGAAGGAGGTGGAGACTGTGTTGGTCTGTCACTGGAGACCTCCTTCTTCAGTGAGATTCGTTTGGGGATTGGTGCAATAGGACTATCAGGGGGTGTGGCATACAGGTCCTCCTTGATTGAGTTGTGGGAGGGAGAATCTGTGAGACTAGATGCTCGTGTTTGTCGAGGACTTAATCTCCCTACTGGAGATCCTGTTCTAGGGGAACCTGTCAAAATTCAAATCCATGCAAAACATTAATCTTTAAACAAATAAATTTTAAAAATATCCTTTTAATTCAAATAAGAAATATGAATAATCATTATTAGTTACTACTCAAGGCTATAATTTTGGCAATTTATTTAGTCACCATGACTCATAGAATTTCCAACCGGGACTTAAAATATCTCCATAAGGCAACTGTTTTAAATTGTCTTAGTAACTGGGATGAAATTCTGAACTATACTGTAAGCATTTTCACATGTACCAGTATTTAATTATCATAGTTCTGAAGTATGTACCAGTATTTATCATAGTTCTGAAGTATGTACCAGTATTTATCATAGTTCTGAGGTATGTACAAGTATTTATCATAGTTCTGAAGTATGTACCAGTATTTATCATAGTTCTGAAGTATGTACCAGTATTTATCATAGTTCTGAAGTATGTACAAGTATTTATCATAATTCTGAGGTATGTACCAGTATTTATCATAGTTCTGAAGTATGTACCAGTATTTATCATAGTTCTGAAGTATGTACCAGTATTTATCATAGTTCTGAGGTTTGTACCAGTATTTATCATAGTTCTGAAGTATGTACCAGTATTTATCATAGTTCTGAAGTATGTACCAGTATTTATCATAGTTCTGAAGTATGTACCAGTATTTATCATAGTTCTGAAGTATGTACAAGTATTTATCATAGTTCTGAAGTATGTACAAGTATTTATCATAGTTCTGAGGTTTGTACCAGTATTTATCATAGTTCTGAGTTATGTACCAGTATTTATCATAGTTCTGAAGTATGTACCAGTATTTATCATAGTTCTGAGGTTTGTACCAGTATTTATCATAGTTCTGAAGTATGTACAAGTATTTATCATAGTTCTGAAGTATGTACCAGTATTTATCATAGTTCTGAGTTATGTACAAGTATTTATCATAGTTCTGAGGTTTGTACCAGTATTTATCATAGTTCTGAGTTATGTACAAGTATTTATCATAGTTCTGAGTTATGTACAAGTATTTATCATAGTTCTGAAGTATGTACCAGTATTTATCATAGTTCTGAGGTATGTACCAGTATTTATCATAGTTCTGAAGTATGTACCAGTATTTATCATAGTTCTGAAGTATGTACCAGTATTTATCATAGTTCTGAAGTATGTACCAGTATTTATCATAGTTCTGAGTTATGTACAAGTATTTATCATAGTTCTGAAGTATGTACAAGTATTTATCATAGTTCTGAGGTTTATACCAGTATTTATCATAGTTCTGAGGTTTGTACCAGTATTTATCATAGTTCTGAGTTATGTACAAGTATTTATCATAGTTCTGAGTTATGTACAAGTATTTATCATAGTTCTGAAGTATGTACCAGTATTTATCATAGTTCTGAGGTATGTACCAGTATTTATCATAGTTCTGAAGTATGTACCAGTATTTATCATAGTTCTGAAGTATGTACCAGTATTTATCATAGTTCTGAGTTATGTACCAGTATTTATCATAGTTCTGAAGTATGTACCAGTATTTATCATAGTTCTGAAGTATGTACCAGTATTTATCATAGTTCTGAGTTATGTACCAGTATTTATCATAGTTCTGAAGTATGTACCAGTATTTATCATAGTTCTGAAGTATGTACCAGTATTTATCATAGTTCTGAAGTATGTACCAGTATTTATCATAGTTCTGAGGTATGTACCAGTATTTATCATAGTTCTGAAGTATGTACCAGTATTTATCATAGTTCTGAGTTATGTACCAGTATTTATCATAGTTCTGAGTTATGTACAAGTATTTATCATAGTTCTGAGGTATGTACCAGTATTTATCATAGTTCTGAAGTATGTACCAGTATTTATCATAGTTCTGAAGTATGTACCAGTATTTATCATAGTTCTGAAGTATGTACCAGTATCTATCATAGTTCTGAAGTATGTACCAGTATTTATCATAGTTCTGAAGTATGTACCAGTATTTATCATAGTTCTGAAGTATGTACCAGTATTTATCATAGTTCTGAGTTATGTACAAGTATTTATCATAGTTCTGAGTTATGTACCAGTATTTATCATAGTTCTGAAGTATGTACCAGTATTTATCATAGTTTTGAGGTATGTACCAGTATTTATCATAGTTCTGAAGTATGTACCAGTATTTATCATAGTTCTGAAGTATGTACCAGTATTTATCATAGTTCTGAAGTATGTACAAGTATTTATCATAGTTCTGAAGTATGTACCAGTATTTATCATAGTTCTGAAGTATGTACCAGTATTTATCATAGTTCTGAGTTATGTACAAGTATTTATCATAGTTCTGAGGATTGTACCAGTATTTATCATAGTTCTGAGTTATGTACAAGTATTTATCATAGTTCTGAAGTATGTACCAGTATTTATCATAGTTCTGAGTTATGTACAAGTATTTATCATAGTTCTGAGTTATGTACCAGTATTTATCATAGTTCTGAAGTATGTACAAGTATTTATCATAGTTCTGAAGTATGTACCAGTATTTATCATAGTTCTGAAGTATGTACCAGTATTTATCATAGTTCTGAGGTATGTACAAGTATTTATCATAGTTCTGAAGTATGTACCAGTATTTATCATAGTTCTGAAGTATGTACCAGTATTTATCATAGTTCTGAAGTATGTACCAGTATTTATCATAGTTCTGAAGTATGTACCAGTATCTATCATAGTTCTGAGGTATGTACCAGTATTTATCTGAAATCAAGTTCTATTCCGAGGCTACCTTGTTTTTCTGTGATGGTAAGATGGGGACTAGAGCTTCGAGACCCCGATTTCTTGGGAGTCCCTGGAGGGGAGGGTACTGGAGTTGGTCCATTTCCATTCGCTCGACTCTCACCTGAAATTATAGTATTTATTCTTCATAAAATGCTCGAGGGACATAAACAATGTTTCATACTACAAACAGAAAAAAAGTCTGTTTCAATCTCTCTTTTTGACTTCAGAGAAGATATACATACAGAACACATACATAACAACATGCTAATGACAAAAGAAATACTTCCTTTTATTGTCGGTCCAACAAAAAATTTATTCATTGAAAGGTACTCAAAGAAAATAAGAAGTGTCAATCTGGGATTTATTCAAGGTTTTATCAATATCAACAAGAAATACACCAAATCTCTGAATGGACACTGGAAAAGATACACCATCCTTTGTCATGTTGTAGAAATAGAGCACAATATAGTATTTCTAACACAGTGACAACATCTACTACCAACTCACCAAACATATAGGCCAGGTACGACACGTCCCGACAGCCACACACTCAAAAGAAACAGCATCAGACAATAATTAGGGGCCAGTCAAACAGCATCAAACAATAATTAGGGGCAGTCAAAAGGGTGTTCTACTAATGATGGCATTAATACATAGTGAATGGATTCGTGGAATTCAAGTGTGCAGGAAAAACTACTGTGTTCTGCATTAATTGCATTTTCAGACTCTAGACATACAATGTACATTTATTTTCCAGATAATGTAGCTTTAGTTCAAATACATTCATAATATTACATTACTATAGCGAATTTTCATGATACAGTGCATACATATGACAGAAAGACAATCTTTGTGTGACATATCTTCCCATATCTTTTACTCACAATATCTGGCTACATAACAGATGGACCAAGAAAGATTGAAACAGGTGTGATCTGCCATTTGTATAAAACTTACCTAGAGCTTTGACCAGCTCCTTCACAGATACACCCTGTAATTCAGCAGGGAGGGGATGGCTAATTTCTCTTCTGGATGACTTTGGAGAGCCTGAAGCTGGGGATCTAGTTGTGGACACGGGGGACGCAGTTTGGGCAGAAATATCCATTCTGGAGGGAGAGAGGAATCCCGGGGAGGCAGAGAGACTACCAGGCATAGTGTTGACTTTTGTCATATCTCGCTGTATGGGGCTGCTCTCAAAGCTTGATCCAAACCCCCCAAATTGTAAACCACTGGGGTTTCCAAAGGTAGGAATGACTGATCCTAATAAATATTCAGTAAAAATATTTACCATACTAAGTAGATATAAACAGTTTTGACAGAATAGGGTTTTATTATTTGTTTTTGCAAACATTTTTTAAATACCTGAAAATCCTGGATTTAAAACATTTCCAGGTAGACTAGCACTTCTTCCAAATGGCCCTGTAAAAAAATAAAGTAACTGATTAGTTCCTCTACCTGATTGATTTAATATAATTCTCAATGTTATTATCACTGCTAGCAAATTTGACCAATACCTGAAGGAGGGCTACCAAACACAAATGGCATCTGTGGTGAAAAATCAAATCCTTTATTAAATGTTGGAGGGAGGGAGTTAAATGCAAAAGGGTCATTCTGTTTTCCTGTTGCCAGGCCTCCTAGGTCAGATTCATGTTTGAGGTACACAGTTCCATCCCGCCCTGAAACCAGGACCCAGGCTTCGCCTTGTTTGTTCTGACAATACTGCTCTACACTCTCTGGATCCAGTCTCACCCATCGACCATCCTCATTTGTCACCTGCAAGAAAACAAGTTTTACAGGTGGAGACATCCATCTTTTAAAATGACTTTCTTGTCATCAACTTTGAAATGGTTCAGAATGATCAGCATCTGACATGATCCACATATATGTACTAGTATTACAAAAGAATCTCATTTATCAGTAAAAAAAAAAAATATCTGAGAAGCTCACTTCACTCATGACACAGATCCTTAACAAGAGGCCCATGGGCCACATCGCTCACCTGAGTAACTTTGGCCATGCTGTTCATTACCAGACTTCCCCCCTTGTAATACCTATTGTAGTCCCGCCCTACCCCCAGGGGCCATGATTTGAACAATTTAGAATCTACACTACCCCAGGATGCTTCCACGTAAGTTTCAGTTTTTCTGGTCCAGTGGTTCTTGAGAAGATTTTTAAAGATTTTTCCTATATATTTCAATGTAAAACTTGGATTCCGTATTGTGCCCCCCCCCCCCCCCCATCCCCGGGGTCATGATTTGAACAATTTAAAGTGTACACTTCTTGAGGATGCTTCCACATAAGATTCAGCTTTTCTGGCTCAGTGGTTCTTGAAAAGAAGATTTTTCAAGATTTTTCCTATATATTTCAATGTAAAACTTGGATTCCCTATTGTGGCCTCGCCCTACCCCCGGGGGTCATGATTTGAACAATTTAGAATCTACACTACCCTTGGATGCTTCCACATAAGTTTCAGCTTTTCTGGCTAATGGATTCTTGATAAGAAGATTTTTCAAGATTTCTCCTATATATTTCAATGTAAAACTTGGATTCCCTATTGTGGCCCCGCCCTACCCCCGGGGGTCATGATTTGAACAATTTAGAATCTACACTACCCCAGGATGCTTCCACATAAGTTTCAGCTTTTCTGGCTCAGTGGTTCTTGAGAAGAAGATTTTTAAAGATTTTTCCTACATATTTCAATGTAAAACTTGTATTCCCTACTGTGGCCCCGCCCTACCCCCGGGGGTCATGATTTGAACAATTTAGAATCTACACTACCCCAGGATGCTTCCACATAAGTTTCAGCTTTTCTGGCTCAGTGGTTCTTGAGAAGAAGATTTTTAAAGATTTTTCCTATATATTTCAATGTAAAACTTGTATTTCCTATTGTGGCCCCGCCCTACCCCGGGGGTCATGATTTGAACAATTTAGAATCTACACTACCCCAGGATGCTTCCACATAAGTTTCAGCTTTTCTGGCCCAGTGGTTCTTGAGAAGAAGATTTTTAAAGATTTTTCCTATATATTTCAATGTAAAATTTGGATTCCCTATTGTGGCCCCACCCTACCCCCGGGGGTCATAATTTTAACAATTTAGAATCTACTCTATCCCAGGATGCTTCCAAATAAGTTTCAGCTTTTCTGGCTCAGTGGTTCTTGAGAAGAAGATTTTTAAAGATTTTTCCTACATATTTCAATGTAAAACTTGTATTCCCTACTGTGGCCCCGCCCTACCCCCGGGGGTCATGATTTGAACAATTTAGAATCTACACTACCCCAGGATGCTTCCACATAAGTTTCAGCTTTTCTGGCTCAGTGGTTCTTGAGAAGAAGATTTTTAAAGATTTTTCCTATATATTTCAATGTAAAACTTGTATTTCCTATTGTGGCCCCGCCCTACCCCGGGGGTCATGATTTGAACAATTTAGAATCTACACTACCCCAGGATGCTTCCACATAAGTTTCAGCTTTTCTGGCCCAGTGGTTCTTGAGAAGAAGATTTTTAAAGATTTTTCCTATATATTTCAATGTAAAATTTGGATTCCCTATTGTGGCCCCACCCTACCCCCGGGGGTCATGATTTTAACAATTTAGAATCTACTCTATCCCAGGATGCTTCCAAATAAGTTTCAGCTTTTCTGGCCCAGTGGTTCTTGAGAAGATTTTTTAATGACCCCACCCTATTTTTGTCTTTTCTTGATTATCTCCCCTTGTAAGGGGACTTGGCCCTTTATTTTAACAATTTAAACTCCCCTTCCCCCAAGGATACTTTGTACCAAGTTTGGTTAAAATTGGCCCAGTGGTTCTTGAGAAGAAGTTGAAAATGTGAAAAGTTTACAGACGGACGGACGGACAGACGGACGGACGACGGACAACGGGTGATCAGAAAAGCTCACTTGAGCTTTCAGCTCAGGTGAGCTAAAAACAAAACTGAATATTTTATACTCACATCTTCAACAACTGTAATCTTCTCCCCATGAATAAGCATCCCTATGGGTGTCGCCTTGAGGTGTGGCCTACACCTGATGTTGTGTCCTGAGGGTCCACATTTTACAACCTGATATTCACCTGGTCCTAAAACATACAGCAATTAAGCCTGATTTAGTTTGCTTTAAATCTCTTCATGAATAAAACATTTTTAAAAGTACCTTTCCTGAAATATCTTTAACCATTTAATGCAATGTTTGCTCTAATGACGAATATCTAAAACATCAGTATATAGATTAAAATTCACAAAAAACCTCTTTTTGGTGTGACTTCTGGTTTGACAACATCCTGGAGATTTTTTCTGATAGTTTCTTTGATGATCTCCTCCATTAGTGGTTTAGGCTCCTCCACAGGGACCAGCAGGGTTTTCCCTAGATGTTGGTTGTACTGCAGGGCCCACCCCTCCACATGACCCTCCTTGCACCACTCGTTAATGGATGCCTGACTCAGTCTCAGCCAAACCCCATCATCATTGTGAATCTGCAACGGTCAAAGCTTACTATAAACAATCCAAAGGTTCATCACTGAATGCTTGTATGTTATAAATTATTTACTTTTTCAACATATTCAACATGCATGGTTTTTTTTGTTTTTTTTTTGTATTATCAAAACTTCAAAACCAAAATTGTATTTTTTCCCCTTTTAATGATGACACTGCATACCTCATCAACAAATGAAATGATTCCTTCAGGCTGTATGACTCCTATGTACTCGCTCTGTAGAGATGGATTTACTCGGATTCTTAGTCCAGCGCTGTATTTAGCAACAAATTTCCTCATCTGCAATACATCAGGATTATCAAATGTAACATAGTTCAGGACTTCAAGTATATAAGTACATGATCAACACATCAGAAAAATGAACTCAATATATATTTTCTTAAGTTTAACAAAATATAATTCTGGTATAGTGGAAATAACCCGCATGTGTAATGTGCTTTTTACTTATTTGCATAACCAACAACAAGTGTAAATATCCAAGTGTACCTTATTTGGTTGATGTGGTTTTTTCTCTGTCTGGGTGGGTGGAGTCACTCCCTGGGGTGGATCTTTTACTTCCAACTTGTAAATTTCACCTGATTAACATAAATTCCATTAATTATGTAATAAATGTAATACCAAGTACTGGTACTCAAAGTAAAATAACCTACTGCAATGATAAGCTAGCAAAAGGAGCTGCTCTTGGTAATGAAAAAGACCCCTACCTGTATCAAAGTCATCAATAGTGACAAGGATTTTGTAGAGGCCTATGTTGCTCGGTGTCCAGTTGGCAACATACGTCCCATCACTATTACATCTCACCAGCATGTTCTCACTCGGTCGAGGTACAGCAGGGGCAGCATATCTCAGCTCCTCAAATGAGTAGTTCTCATATGCCTGACCAAATCATAAACAGGTATTTATTTTTTACTCTTTTAGCTACAAACTTAGATGATAGCTGTCGAAGATTTTCCATTTCAAAATGGCTTACCTTCATCATGCTGATGGCATGGAAGATGTCCTTTCTCTCTCTGACTGTTGCCTCATAGGGAATGTCCTGAGGAGGGGGAGGGTGACCCCCAAATATCTTGTCTCCCTCATCTGGTCTACTCAGTCTTCTAAGCCTGCGCTCGTCACCAGAGATACCCTGGTCAATTGGGACAGCCTTTACATTTACCTTAAAGGACAAAGTAAAAGTCTCATAGTGACTTAACATAAACACAATTTGATCAAAGAAAACATCATCTCATACAGTCATGTATAAAAAAACTAATCCTATTTTGAAATGTCAATGTAAGGTGTTTTAATTTAAATTATCTTGATAATTTCCTTGACCTTGCAAACACTCAGTAACAACCTAAAGCAAAACTTCCAGAAAAATGTTTTGAACCTCCAATTTCTAAATACTGTATAAGTTACATGTTAGACGATTATAACAGAACTTAGGATTAGGTACATGGACCAGCTTAACAGACCTTAAGATTAGGTACGTGGACCAGCTGACCATACTGATCCTTGGTCAAAACGGTGATGAGAGCTGGCCATCCACAGCGGAGATCTTCCTTACTGTACATCAACTCACACTGACTGGGATCCAGGTAGGAATCTGGCTGGAGCCATCTACAAATATAGAGAATGTCAGAAGCATGAAACATTGACAATGCTTCATCATGGCCATCCATCAAATGTTTACTATATACAAAATTATACAAGATTAAGAATACAATGATTGTGTGATCTGACATTATAAAAGAATTAAAAACCTTTTAATGGAAGGGGGAGGGGGTAATTTTATAAAGTTTGCTTTAATTTTCCCAAAGAAATTTCTTTTAAAAGACAAAAAGATAATGGACAAAATGATCTACATGTATTAAAACAGAGATAGGAGTAAGCCTTTAAATCTTACCTGGCTAATCGACCTCCACTGGTGCCTGGATTACAAGCCACAAAGTCCTTCAGGAATGACCTCTCATTGGACTGCCAACAGAATGGCAGGTTCCCCTCCAGGGCTTGCATGATAGTGGGAGGGTGGGAGAGGGCAAAGCCTTTACCCAGCAGTTCTGAATGAGCACTGAATATCTGTAACAAAATAATGAATGGCAATACACTGCAAAACAAATTTCACTTGTTCACAAGACTTTGACTGGAAACAGGTCTCTAAATGATCTTATATGCAAATAATACATGTACTTTATTCATAGAAATGAATAGTAATTGGCAACTGGTGATGCCTTTAGATTCTCTCTCCGTTATGATAATAATTTGGATCTGTTATAACAGCTAATAAATAAAAGTAACTGAAAATTAAATGCAGTATTTAGAGAATTTACTGCATAATGGTTTCACACAATCTAAAAAGACATACATATAAATTGCACTTACCAATTGGGAACCTTCCTCTATATATTCCATGTCTTCCTCTAGTTCTTCAACAGTTACTGCAAGAAAATAATTGTCACATATATATGTATCATGAAAAATATAACACTGGACGATTCTCAAGTATAAGTATTTTCACAACATGGCCTTGATCCACACTTTAAAATTTTTTCATGTGAAATATAAATTAACAGTAAACAAATGTCTAGATTTTTAAGGTTTATGAAGTTTTGTATGTAGTTGGAGCATGCAGTAATTCATGCATAAGCAGCCTTGCTTAGTATATTACCTGGAGGCAGAGCAACATCTTTCTTGATTAAGGAAGCTGCACACATCCCTCCAAGGTAAGATAACTCTCTTTCCAGTTCTGTTACACTCTACAACAGACATTTCAAATTGTACCTCTAATGTTGCACTGAAGTTTTAAATTTCCACTTCAAAGTTAATTTTTTGAAAAAGACATGAGGCGCCCATAAGCCTTGAAGGTCAGGTCATGACTACAACTCCACCTGGATCTAGAACTTTGGAATCATGTGACAGGAATTTTACAGAATGGTTACCATTTCAAGGCATAAAATCTAAATTTCTAGGAATAAAAAAAACATAACAATAGATATGCTTTTTCAATGTATGATTAATTTGGCCCAAGGATGGGGTATGGGCCCTAGTAATCAAATTTTACAATTTAGATAAAGGGTTCATGACTTACTGTCATAATGTATACAATTTGCTTATAAATGATTAGAAATAAAAAATGTTTTCAAATAAATATAATGAATTTTCAATATACTGTATGACCAACTGGACTTCGGGACCATGATTTTCACAATTTGGATGGAGGGTTAATTGTTCATTATAATCAGGTGATCTGTTTTCTTGCTACATATCCAAGAGTGAAAAAGATTTTCCCAAAATCCACAGTATAGATATTTGAAGATGGAATGATTTCTGATACTTTTGGACCCATCCCTCATTGTGAATTTCCATGAACATTTTTTAAATGATGCCACCCAATGTTTACATTTTCTTAATTATCTCCCATTGAAAGAGGGTGTGGCCCTTCATTTGAACAAACTTGAATGCCCTTTATCCAAGGATACTCTGTGACAAGCTTGGTTGAAATTGGCTCAGTGGCTTTTGGAGAAGATGAAACTGTAAAAAGTTTACGATAACAATGACAACAGACAACGGACAAATTTTGATCAGAAAAGCTCAACTGAGCCTTTGGCTCAGGTGAGCCAAAAATAGCCTGAAATTGGTGGCAGCCCTTTAAGAGAAGAAACTAAAAACGTTCAAATTTTTTTACAATAAAAACACTATGTCAAAATCTATTAAAACCAACCTCATCTGGTGTAAAATTCCATTCATATCCAACAACTACACACTTAAATCCAAAGAAACAGGACTTGTCATCTTTCACATAATCTGATGCTGTTTCTAAGGAAAAGACTACTTCATGACCTGTAAACAAGTGTAATCATCATTAACTTTAATTCATCTATCCAATACTAACTTCATAATTAAAGTAGTTTTAGTAATCAATAAAGAGTTACTGTTTTCTCTGAATAAATGTATCTAACCTGGTAAAACAATGGCCGTTTTGGGCCAATTACTGGAACCATGGAACTTTTTCCACATTGGCCAGTAGTTTTGTGTGCTGAGTCCCTCTTCTGGGGAGAAATCAGTGGGGATGAAATCCGAACCTCCAGAAGCAGGGATATACAGCTGAAGGGTGTCCTCGGCTTGAGCTGTACCACACTGGGGATCAAACTCCAACACCATCCACTTAACGGACTCCGGGAAAATCACCTTATTAATAAGTTTAAAATACATGTTCATGTAAGGTACAAATCTTGGCATATTGAATCTTTCTCCTTCTTTGGCAATTCAACATATTTCCGAGTACAAGAAGAGAAGAATGGGCAAATGCCAAAATAAAAAAGTATAAGAAGTGGCATTTTTCAGAGGCATTTTCTAAATCTAAATTAGGTTCTTACAAACTACTTACCTTATAGTTGGAGACAGAAGCTGGTTTGTATGGGTGATCACTTTCAACAATGGCATAGTGCTGGGAGGTGGTGCCATTCTCTGAGGTATCTGGGGCGGGGAGTGGTGCTGGGGACTGGGTGTTTAGTTGAGCCACCTCTGGAAGAATCTCTTGAATTATGCCAAGGATCTGTACAGCTCCCTAAGGTAAAACAATAAACATTCTACTCAGTTACAAATAATAAATATGAAATGAAACTGAAAGAAACAAGAAGTCTGTGAGCCAATGCTCACTAATAATACCCCCGCTCTGATGTGAATACACAAGTTCGGTTATAGACAAAGACAGTGATAATCAGGAAATTGACATCGGATTTGTAAAAACTGAATCGCAACATATGGCATGCCTAAACAAAGATTGTGCTAAAATTTCAAGCATCTGTGATAAGTAGTTGCTGAGAAAACTACGACCAAAATTTGCTATGTATGTTTCGGACAGACGCACGAATAAACAGGAAGTTCACATTGGATTTGTTCCAAAAATGAATACCATTATATGGCATACCTAAACAAAGATTGTATTAAAATTTCAAGCATCTGCAATGAGTAGTTGCTGAGAAAACTACGACCAAAATTTGTTATGTATGGTACAGACAGATGCACGGATAAACAGGAAGTTGACATCGGATTAGTACAAAAATGAATCCCACCATATGGCATGCCTAAACAAAGATTGTGCTAAAATTTCAAGCATCTGCAATGAGTAGATGCTGAGAAAACTACGACCAAAATTTGTTATGTATGGTACGGACAGATGCACGGATAAACAGGAAGTTGACATCGGATTTGTACAGAAATAAATCCCACCATATGGCATGCCTAAACAAAGAATGTGTGAAAATTTCAAGCACCTGTGATGAGTAGTTGCTGAGAAAACTGCGACCAAAGTTTGTTATGTGTGGTACAGACAGACGCACGGATAAACAGGAAGTTGACATCGGATTCATACAAAAATGAATCCCACCATATGGCATGCCTAAACAAAGATTGTGCTAAAATTTCAAGCATCTGCAATGAGTAGATGCTGAGAAAACTGCGACCAAAATTTGTTACGGACAGACAGACACACAGACGGACAGACAGACAGACAGACACACAAGGGTAAAACAGTATACCCCCCTCTCCTTCCGAGCGGGGGTATAATAAAAAACTTTAGTTAAGCTATGGTATAGTTGGTAAATAGTATATATGGTTTTCCAATACTCTGAATTTTACTGTGGCTTAAAGGAAGGTAACAATGCTTTCAGGGATCAATAACATTTTGTAGTAATGAAAGACAAAACCAAATGTTAAGATAAACATATACAGTACATGTACAGCACTTCACTTAATGTAAATTTTATTCATTTCTTCATCACTAATTACTCTCTCTACAAAAGCAGATCTTAATGAGGCATATAAATTTTACTGTGGTGCAGAGAAATTTTACTGTGGATTAAATATTTTACTATGATACAAAAACAGTTTACTGTCATGGCTATGCACAGCAAAAGGTTGGAGAACTATGGTAAAAATCATACCCTGGGATCCTGAGAAGCTACTGGTCCAATGTAAGCAAGAATCAATGGTAGCAGGGAACAAAAGATGTCTGCAACTCCTAAAACTTCTACTGCATATCCTTAAAGTAAAATTTGATTTAAATATAGTTTTCATTAAATTTAAACCTCTTTTGAAACTGAGCCAAGATACACACTTCAGTGTATATTGATAAAATGCGTCAAAAAAACTCACCCTCAGTAGCAAACTGGGCTCTCCTGAGGACATCTGTAGCCACCCTACAAATGGCACTCACTATGTCGATTGCATTCTTCCGAGCCTGAAGCTCAGCCAGGGATTTATTGCTTTGGTAATTCTCTCCTTCTTGTGGGGCACTGAAAATTTCACCGTTTATATTCATTATATACGTTATAGTTACACTATAGATATTAATTGGTTAGCGATAAATACACTCACAGTTTTTCATTCACGAGGGGCGGAGCCCCGAGTGAATAAAAACTGTGAGTGTATTTATCGCTAACCAATTAATATCTATTGTGTAAGTTACTTGTACCAGAGGACCAATGAGAGAAAAGCAAGTTGATAATTAGCACCGCCTACTACGAGGTGTCAAGCCCTGGTCCGTATATATAAGCTGTCTCCATCTGCAAGGATCATATTTAGCTGCGTCACTGCTACCTAATTTGTTGATAAAAGATTCGGAATTGGTACCTGTGAAGATATTGGACCTTTGGAATGTTGAAGACGCAGAAAACCTGATCTTTGTCAGGAACAGGTACAGGGGTAGCGATTGTAGGCTTTTATATTCAAGTCGTGAAGTCTGAAGAAAATTTATCTTTCTAGATCGTTGTTTTTTTTTTTTTTTTTTTTAAAAAGGGGGGGGGGGGGGGTATGGGAAACATTGCCATTGAACTTTTTCTATATGGCAATCAGCGTACAGAAAAAAATGAAATGATTTTTGACATTTTAATGAAAGTTTGAAATGGTATTGGAAGTAAAAAAAAAAAAAGCGGGGACTTCTGATGTGAAATTGCTATTTGTACTTGGAGACAGGAAAGAGAACGACGAGAACTCGAGATAGGACGTATCATTTACTGATTAAGGATACGTGGAGAAAACATACAGAAACATTTATGAAGCTAACATCGACAAGCTAATGTTAGTATTTTTGAAATTAAAAATGTTGACTTAATTCATTCATCGATCAGCCAGGTCTGGAAGTTGACATCATTCATTCATCAGTCAAGGTCTTGTCACAGTATGGCTTGATGCCAAAAGGTGGGCGTGACATAAAAAACTGTGATTCTTCTGGCAAATACACCACAGCAACATCAAAGCAAAATCTAAATTTACCGCCAGTCCTATGGTACCATGATTTAATGTCTCATATTTTGCTTATAAGTACAATACAAAAGGCTTAGTGTTCGTATTATACTGGCATGGCATATTATGTTGTTTCACATTTTGTACCCACCTGTAGCAACGAGAAATGTTTTGATTGTTTTATATGAGGTACTCACCTGTAGTAGAGAATCTGTGGTATCTGACCTCTCATGTGATTGGTTCCATTAGAACTCAGAGAGCAGGCCTGGAATGTAAAGTTTGTCCCATCTGGACATCTGACCTTTGTGACCCCTCCGTCACCATTCAGTGTTCGCATACTGCCATGGTTCTTCAAACGAACTGTGTATTTTACCCCCTCCTGCACAAGAATTACATACAATGTCAGTTCTATGTAAACTAAATCTGTGTTAAACTACTGAAAAACAAGCACATCAAAGATCATGCAAAAAAAAAAAAATAATGCATTGATGTGTATCTACTTGTACAACTTACATGGGGGAAAAAGGCATAAAACTTTTAAAAAGGCTAGTATAAGAAACAAGAGGCCAGTGGGCCACAATGATCATCATTCTCTTCCAGATAATAAATTTATGTACATTTAGATAAATGACAGTGTAATCTCAAATTAAAGTCCATGATTTCAACATTCTTGCAAATGTCTACAAACATACCACATGTGTCACCTACAGTTACTTTTTTTGAGAAAGCATGTCACTGACTATACTAAGAAACATGAAAAGACCATGGATAAAGTTGTCCCAGTGTATCTTATAAGAAAAAGACTATGAGGGTATAAAATCACATATGTTTAATGTATACATTGCTCCATCCTTTACTGTGTAAACATATCTACCTTGATAGCTATAGGTCTGTCAAACTTGATTTCAGCGATATCATTGACACAGTCTTCATGACCATAGACTCCCTTCACGGACTCAATGACATTCCACCTCTGTGACGGTGAAGGGTTACTGATACCATCTCCCTGCTGTGAAAAAAATTGTCATCATTTGATATTTCAAACAAGATCTTGTTCTTTAATGTTTATGTGCAGTACATAAAACAGATGGTGTTTTAGGAAATGTGAAGACTGTACATTTCTATCAAAATTCACCATTCAAAAACTTATATTTACGTAACATTTTACATATGGAATATATGTTTGTTTGAAATTACTTCATATGAACCATTTTTGGTGAATAGCAAAGATTTACCACTTATACATACTGTACTTGTACATACAGACTGTATGCATAACTTTTCTAGAATTAAAAGACTAAATACATGCAATTCTGTAACAAATCTCTTTTACAGAAGTAACAGAATATTTACATCATCCAGGAATTCCAGTTCATAGTTATACTGTCCGTCTCCTCCATATACACACACTCCAGCAATCAGAATCCCTGGCTTATCCACAGAGAAAGTGATGGCATCCGGACTCCCATTCCCACTGTTCCACATGGCATGCTGACTGGTGCGAGTGAACCTATTAGGGGTGACCAACAGGGGGCGAGTGGCTGTCCCATGATCCATCTATTGAGAAAGTTGTTAATGATCATGATATTATGTTGCTCAATGTTCATTTTTTTTTTTTGCTTAATAAGGCATCTCAAGTTTCCCTGCTGCACCAATAAGGAACCCACAGTAATTGCCACTTGAATTTCTAATATTTAGGTCAATATTTGACTCACCTCTTGACCAGTAATTATCACTTAAACTCTAATATTTAGGTAAATATTTGACTCATCTCTAGACCAGTAATTACCATTTAAACTTCTGATATTTAAGTCAATATGTGACTCACCTCTAGACCAGTAATTACCACTTAACTTCTAATATTTAGGTCAATATGTGACTCACCTCTAGACCAGTAATTACCATTTAAACTTCTTATATTTAGGCCAATATGTGACTCACCTTTAGACCAGTAATTACCACTTAAACTTCTAATATACTCACCTCTAGACCAGTGGCTGTAGCTGACAACTCACTGATGATAGTGGCCAGTAAGGAGCAGGTGTTGGCCACTAGGATGCTGGGATACGTCAAGGTTTCCTTACTTAGGGCCTGTCGAACAGGAAGTGTCACAATGGACAGAAGTTTGTCCAGGATTTCACGGAAAGTCACATGATTTGTCAGAAGTCCCAAAGCCTGTCAAAATCAAAATGACATTTTAGCTGTATTCTTAGATTTACTGTAATCTTTGTATCTGGCTATTGGATTACAGAGAAGCACTAGTATTATTACACATTTCATTGTATAGAACATCTGATTAAATTAAAAAATATGGCAAAGTCATACATGGTAACTTGGTATGCTCACACAATTCTGACCTTTTGACCTTTATATTACTGACCTGACTGATAAGCAACAAGCAATTTAGGTAGTGTCACAAGTATGTCAGTAACTTTCATGTGACTTTTGACCAAGTGACCCAAATAAATTTTTTTTCTTTAACCAATCAACATACATATTATGGATCTGAAGTCTACAGGGTATCAACACTGAAATTATAATCATCCTTGACCTACATAATAAATACAAAGTGGTTTGGAGGTTTTAAAGCTTTTGATTCAGAAGTGTTAAAAGGCAGACAGATGGACAAGGTGAATACTAAATGATACCTGCATTCTAATGCAAGTCCCTGAATAAGAGTTTTAATAAAGCAAAAAAATCTGAATTAACTTCACACCTGGACAAATGTGTAAATATCAAAATTTTATATCAAAGAGAAAACTTATAGATTTAGCTATGTCCAATTTAATTTTCAAGTACAAACAAAATCTCTGTTAATATCAAAGTAAGGTTAAAACTACTGGAAAATTCTACTACTGGCAGTTTCTCACTCCTTCAATGGGATCAAACACATGACTTATGAGTAAAATTTGTAATTCATGTGGATACTGTGTGTTCAAAGCTCTCAAAATGGTGATCTTAGTAGGGAAAGCTAATATTACTACATCATCAATGCTGATAGCTTGCATAAGGCATGATGATAAATTCTGAATGATAGGATACTGATATGAAATCTGGGACAGTACAACAATAGCATGCCAAGGGCAAGAACTCCTATCTGAATTGTTACCTCTCTTTGGAAAGCTGTCAACTAATAAAGAAAAATAGAGAACTGAAAATATTTTGCTTTAACACAAATCTGGAACAACAGATACTCAGCAAAAAGCAATGATTATGTTAAGGAAGCATTCTTTTGTCCTTATACATACAATTCTCTTATAGTCTGTACAACCATCCTAATGGACACTGATCAATTTCTAGATTTAAAGTTAATATATAAGCTTTATAGAGATTTCTTAGCATGTGGATTACTTCGAGGCTTCACTCACATATTCATGAAGATCTAAAAAAATCCTAGAAGAATTCTGCACAAGAATAAAACCATAGCTTATCAAATTTGAAGAGAAATAAGAATACATTACTTAACATCATATACTACATACGATCTAAAGGAGACAGCATCTTATATTTGATAATACATTCAATAAATAGTTTTAGCATTTTGTTAAATATTTTCTACTTCTACATAGTGTTAGTGTTCAGCTTTCTAATTCAGTGTTAGTATAATATCTTTATAAACAACAAATCATTTTAAGAAACCTACTTTAATGATGAAAATTATAGTATGTACATGTGCGTAAATGTTTGTCTGATTATTTACAGATTCAATAACATAAAGAATCCAATCAAATATTTACATCTTTACAAAATACTACATGTAACACAGATACTATATCCATGTCTGATTATACTATAAGAAAATTAGTTCTACATTACTATTAATGGTAAGTATAAGAAGTGAGACATAAAAAAGATTTTAGATCCACCCCTGCCTTACCTCTACTCGGGATGTCATGTGACTAACAAGTATGGGAAATCGGTGGACCTCCCCCATCCTGGCCACACTGTTGGTGTTATCGTCCATGATATCTGACTGACGTCGGAGAATTTCCTCCGTGGCAGGCTGACAGTTGATAGGCATGATACTGGTTATCTTAATGGTGGGATGACACATGGCTTCCATTACGGCCGCCAGCAGACGACTGTAGCCAGATACATTCACCATGTCCTAGCAAAAGTAATCAATTCATGTATGGCATATAATTTTACTATTATTAAAATGAATTCATACATGTATATGGCATTTACTACAAGCATCATTTCTGGTGCAAATCTGATAAGTTATCAATAAGTGCAAAGATACACGTAGATGATGTTGATGCAAAAAAAAACAACAACAAACAAATAAAAAACAAAAAGAAAAAAAAAAAGAAACCAACCAAACAAAAAAATCCATGCATGTTTATCTTGATTTCACTACTGTTTTTCAAGTATTTTTTATAGCAAACTATTACTTGATTTTTTTCCCCCCAAAAATTAGTTTTCAATATCATTGAACTTGATACAATTCCTTCTGAATCGTTAACCTTTTGAACTTCTTCATTACTTAGAATCATTACAATACCATTTCCTCTGTCCATCTGATAGATGACATTTAAGGAATGTTTATAACTTTCGTGGGAGTTATTGGTGTGTAAATCACACAGAATGTTCACGAAGGCATATTTCATGAAGTGTGTTAGCTCTTCATGAAAAATATGCCTACATGCAAGTCTGTGTGATTTACACTCCCAATAACTCACACAAAACTTAAAAACATTCCTTATTCATGTATTTACATTTGACATGTTTAAAAAGCAGCAAAAATACACTAATTGTTTGAATTTCTCCCTGTCCTATATCTTTACATTTTTTTTGGTGTCTCTAAAGCCTCATTGTGACATCACTTCAGTGCGAGTTTCTCCCTGTATATTTCTAGGTATGAGTTTACATGAAAATGGCATTCAAATCAATTTGATGGTTCGTTTAGGAAGGAACACAGCAAATGTAAATATTTGTATATGTTTGATACAACAACTTACTGGTTCTAATTGTATCAGAAGATCACAAAGACAGTGCCACTTTAGATTTCCTGTTGGGAAGAAAGCATGAAAGCAGGCACAAAATGTCTGATGACATTCCTTCAGGATTTCTTCTTTCAAGGGAAGGAACTCCTCCCTCTTTCCTGGTTCTGTCAAGAACATTTTGACCTTTGATGCAGCCTTGACCTCGTCAGCCAGAATCGTCTTCAGCAGATCTTGTGTGTCTCCTATACACTCAGCTAACTTCACAGTTTCTGTTACAGCTTTTTGGCTAGATGCTAGAAGAAAATGGAAATTAACAGAATTTAAGTAATTTGACCTTCATTCAGTATCAAATCAGCCAAAATGGCTTCAGGGAGCAGCCAGACAAACACTCCAAGGAAATGGCAAGTGAGTCACATGGTGGCAACAGGGGAAAAAGAGTTAACATATGACATTCAGCCTTACACTTTTCAAGTAAACTTGTACAAGTTCACAAAGAATGCATGTTGATATTGTTACCTCCATTTGGATAGATCTGTGTGACATAGGTTTTGATGAGCCTCAGACACGCCCTGGTGATGTAGACAAGTCTTTGGATATCAGCCAGTGCTGCAGCTAAGTTATCTCCCTTTAGGCCATCTGTCTCCAGTAATGCTGTATTAAAAGAAGTCCAACTCCACTCCAACAACTTCTGAAGTGCCTCAAAATTATCCTGTTAAAATAATTTTATGAATCAGCTTCTTACATTTTTATTTAAGGTAATGAAAATTTAAAATTTTGTACTACTTCCTCATCACAGTTTAACCTTAAGATAGTAATTACCACATTAAATGTTAAATGTTATATGAATCCCAGACAGCCAACTGTACACACAACAACAACTGCTGGGATGAGTCACTTTATGATACAAATGGACAATCACTTTGATAATTCTGAGATGTAAACATAGCTGCCATGACACATTTTTTAAGGAAATTTTTATTATACATGTTAAAATGGACAATCGCTTTGAAAATTCAAAGATGTAAACTCAAGGCTATGTAATTTTCAGGTTGAATTTCATATATTGAAAAAAGTAGATGTTTTTCATGGGTCGCCTAAAGCAAATGCATGTATTCATACTTATGGAACTTACAGGTGAGACAAAGCATGAGAATTCAGAGCTAAGGATGTGAGCAGCTTCAGAATGATCTACTTACAGGTGAGACAGAGCATGGGAACTCGTATCTGAGGATGTGGGCAGCTTCAGAATGATCTACCTACAGCTGAGACAGAGCATGAGAATTCTGAGGATGTGGGCAGCTTCAGTAAGATCTACTTACACGTGAAACAGAGCACGAGGATTCAGAGCTGAGGATGTGGGCAGCTTCTGTGTGATCTACTTACAGGTGAAACAGAGCATGAGAATTCTGAGCTGAGGATGTGGGCAGCTTTAGAATGATCTACTTACAGGTGAAACAGAGCATGAGAATTCTGAGCTGAGGATGTGGGCAGCTTTAGAATGATCTACTTACAGGTGAGACAAAGCATGAGGATTCAGAGCTAAGGATGTGAGCAGCTTCAGAATGATCTACTTACAGGTGAAACAGAGTATGAGCACTCTGAGCTAAGGATGTGGGCAGCTTCAGAATGATCTACTTACAGGTAAGACAGAGCATGGGAACCCATACCTGAGGATGTGGGCAGCTTCAGAATGATCTACTTACAGGTGAAACAGAGCTGAGAACTCTGAGCTGAGGATGTGGGCAGCTTCAGAATGATCTACTTACAGGTGAGACAGAGCACGAGCATTTTGAGCTGAGGACGTGGGCAGCTTCAGTAAGATTTACTTACAGGTGAAACAGAGCATGAGAATTCTGAGCTGAGGATGTGGGCAGCTTCAGTAAGATCTACTTACAGGTGAAACAGAGCATGATGTTTCAGAGCTGAGGATGTGGGCAGCTTTAGAATGATCTACTTACAGGTGAGACAAAGCATGAGGATTCAGAGCTAAGGATGTGAGGAGCTTCAGAATGATCTACTTACAGGTGAGACAGAGCATGAGCACTCTGAGCTAAGGATGTAGGCAGCTTCAGAATGATCTACTTACAGGTAAGACAGAGCATGGGAACCCATACCTGAGGATGTGGGCAGCTTCAGAATGATCTACTTACAGGTGAAACAGAGCATGAGAATTCTGAGCTGAGGATGTGGGCAGCTTCAAAATGATCTACTTACAGGTGAAACAGAGCATGAGAATTTTGAGCTGAGGATGTGGGCAGTTTCAGTATGATCTACTTACAGGTGAAACAGAGCATGAAAACTCTGAGCTGAGGATGTGGGCAGCTTCTGTATGATCTACTTATCTTCAGAATGATCTACTTACAGGTGAAACAGAGCATGAGAATTCTGAGCTGAGGATGTGGGCAGCTTCTGTATGATCTACTTTTCTTGGTGTTCCAGGGCTGTCCCTTGATGGCAATCTAAAATAAACACAAATTTTAGAAATTTCAACACATGTAAGCAAGTGAAAAGAGAGACCTAAAGTTGAGTAATAAGATCAATTATTTTGAATATTATCAATGGTAAGAATGATTGCTGATAATAACAAAGACTCTGGACAATACAAACCTGTACAACAATTGTGGGATTTGGCCTGCATTCACATCAGTTCCATTATTAGACTTCTTAGAACTTTTGAATTTGAAGATGACTCTGGTGTAAGAAATTGACATTTTAATGCTTAAAATTTATGCAATCATTTGACAAATGTTATTTTACTGCAATTCAAATACAAATGTATTATCAATTTTTCATGAAATACAATGTTAACAACATATATGAAGATCTTTCTATAAATAAAGTCATTAAGTTTTACATCTTTTATATAAGCAGCTACTGATAAACAAGATTAATCTACAATCCATTACTCACTGATCCTCTGTTGTAACCAGAGATTGTCCTGTTGATCCACAGTCAGAGCTTGGGCCAGATATTCTGGCCCAGGCTACGTACCATGAGTTTGCATGGATAGGGATAGGTTCATCAAACAGCATTGCATGCTTCTCTCTGTAAAAAGAACATAGTACATTTGTAAAGCTCCAATCTAAGAGTGGTCACAAGTTTAAAATACTTACTGTTCATTTTTTAGATAATCTTTAAAAAATTAATCTCCATCACTCCTGTTCATTTAGAGTACTTAATGTTTCTGCCCTCAAATGCATTTAAATATGTATACTGTCAATTACCAGAAGTCCCAGTCCATAATCCTAAATTTCTTGCCTAAATCAAATTTCAGAATAATGATACAAAATACACTTGTTTTCATTTCTAACTGTCAATTGATTGAATGCCACAAATAAATAAATTCAAGCTCAAACTATCCATTGAGTTCTACTAAAGTTTGACTCACTGACCTGGCTCCACACTCAAATGCCACTTCATCTGTCTCTCCTATAAGTTCTCCATCCCCTTCATTGTCACCTCCATCAGGACCCAGATCAAACAACTGTCAAAAGTCTTATATCATTATTTGACAAATATACTGTACACCATAACTTACATCAGAGTTAAAATTTCATGATTACTTCTACATTCGGTTTTATGTCAAGATGTTCCTTCATATTATTGCTTGAGGATAAAATACATGTATCAAGCAACACAACAAAAATATTTCGATAAACAAGATACACTTATACATTAATAAATGTCTGCCAATTTTTTTATAAGTAATGTGTTGAATGACTGACCTTTATCCTTCCATAGTACTCTCCCCTTCCTCCAAACAGCCCAAACCCTCCCAGGAGAATGTCTGTGTCTGACATGAACCGTACAGCCTCAATGGAATGACCAGAATACCCCCAGCCCCCTCCATGACCTGAAAGTTACAGTATTTTGAGTAACACTTGTTGCTAAGAGAGTCCATATAACAATCTTCTTGGTATTTCCTCAGTTTATAAAAAAAATATGTGTTAGTAAACTTACTTTCAAATCTATTCACTACAGTGAAATCGTCCTTGGTGTAAATTTTGGAAGTTGTCTGCTTTTCTTTAGTTTCCTCAACAACTGTCAGGTTAGCTTTTTGAGCCATTGTTAAAACATCCAAACAACCTACAAATAAAGTTCACACTTTCTTGTGTATCTATTGTCAAACTAATTTTTTCCCAAACTAATTTCATCAGTTTACATAGTAGACTACCATACATGTAAATATTGTAGTAAGCACAGACAGTTCCCACAGTCTTTTTTTTCCCCAATCTTATATTTTTTTTATCCATTAAATTGACTTTGTTGTTTACCTAACATATGTAGAGCACAATGAGATCTGGTGGTGTTACAACCATTTCTGACAGGAACTGCTAACTCTGGTTTGAAAAGGTCACATGGGGTCAATGTTCTCGCCTCCGAGGCTAAGCAGTTGTAACAGGTCACTTCATGGCTGCTGGGAAGGTAGCTGGGATAGAAAAAAGTGAAAAATATCATTTCTGTAAGTCACACTAGCTATGTGAACATTTTTATCCACTTTGATTATAATGTGTTAATGAATGGAAATTTGAAAATGTGATAATAAAAAAAGTAACTTGCATCCTCGATATTTCGCAGTTTAATCTTGTTCCTGTTGAGTTCAACATAACAAGGTCAGAATGTAGTTTTATCAGATTATTAAAAGGGCTGATGTTTGATCTTGGTGCCTGTTGCTTCCTTACCTCCATAACACATCGTACATTGGATCCAAACACACAGCATGCTTAGAGAGATCATCTTGTTCAGCACCTCCAAGACTGAAACCAAACATGAAAATATTTGTACAGGTAGCTGGAGTGCTAATAGTAAAAGTGATCAATTTACTTGTATCTCTCTTAAAATCCACAATATTTTCAAATTAATTGTGTATTTGTTTGAACAAATGCAATTAGTAATTTCAAATAACTACCTGCGACAGCTACCATCCACCTTGCTTATCATCAAACATTTCATCAAAGCAGTGTTCTCCTCCCCAATGGGGATCAAACCTGTAAAGTCAAAAAAATACATTGACCACTTCTCTTATTGAAAAGAAAATAAATCTATAGGATAAAACAATGGATTATAATTTTTGTTTAACACATTTTTATACATTTTATGGGTTGGTCCAACATTTACAAATACACATGTACCTATGCTTTTCTGGTTGGCAAAAACTTTAGAGGCTGCCAGGATGTGTGCATTGATGAGTGACTCGTCAATCCTGAGGAAGGTTTGGTCCCCACTAGCACCAATCCAGGTAGCTCTTCTGCCATAACGAGCTCCTACAATAGCAAACATATAAAATTACAAAAAAATCTTAAGGCATTGATATCTGAACATATATTATTGTAATATGAAAATGTGAAGCTTACCTATGCTAGGTACGGGGCCTGGTACCGCATACCATGCCTTCTTTGACATAGCTCCAGCCTCATCTGGGCCTGCTCTACCCAAGGCGTGCTTCTGTTAATACAATAAACAAATAACGAAATTGATCCTTGTACATAAATTGTCAATATTCTAAAATTTCACATGCTTTACTCAGGATTTCTCAAGGTTCTATTAGAGATGTCTTACCTCATGGTTTCCAAATGTGTACACCTGTCCATTGTTCAGAAGAACCACCGTGTGGTGGCTTCCAGCAGCCACTTGAACAGCAGGGTGATGGAGTGGTACCAATACAGGACAACCCCTAAAATAACATAGATATGTAGCACCAAGCTTTCTCTCTGCTACCAGAATAATTATTATGACTTCTCTTGTGTTCAAAGCAAAATAAATACACATCCACTTACTTGACAGAAGTGTCTCCTTGTCCTAACTGGCCATACTGGTTACTGCCAAATGTATACACCTCTCCATTCTGTAGGAGCACAACTGCAAGACAGAAAACAGGCATGATCATGCCAGTATGCACTGTATATAGAGAGATTTGTTCCTTTACAAAACACTGAAGATGAAATTTAACCCCCAGTAGTTTTTGTTTGAAAATGTATCTGCTTATTTGTTACATGATTAATGTATATTTTAAAGTTTCAAAGTGATTCCAAATTTTTGGGTAATATGAGTATATACCAGTGTGGTGCTGTCCACAGGCGATTTGTACAGCTGGGTTGTCAGGGCGGCCTATGTCCAGCTCTGTGGGAGGGAGACTGCTGGACTTGGTGTAGTCGGCTTCCTGGTCTGTCATATCTGGTCAGTGAAAAAGGCATACCTCATTTAAACATACACTTCTAACTAGAAAATGGACTCATGCTATTCACTAATGCACTCCTTTACTTATTTGTAGGAACTTATCCAGCAGTCATTTGATGATCAGATGCATATATTTTTTGATTTAATGTCCTTTTACTGTGTAGCATAAAGAACCATACATTGTATATGTAGCTGGTATGAAGTACCCACCTTTCTTGTTTTTTCCTCCTTTCAAGTTCAGAAGTTTTTTCTTCAAATGTGTAGCATCAAGAGATTTAAAAAACTGCTCTAGATGTGATGGAATATTTTTGCCTAAAAGTTAAGCATTTACATTACTTATGTTATTGAGAAAAAATGCAGATTTTTCATTAAATTGAGAGACTTTTCTTGAGTTTTGTTAATACCTAGCATAAGATCTATGCTGAGTAGTTCTTTACTTTTCTCCAATATTTGTCTATCTATGTCATCTCCATCCATGTCAGGAACTTCTACTGCACAGTTACGGCAAATCCCGCATTCAGAACACCCAGAGTCCCCAGCACCACACCCACATTCTGTCCCAGGGTTCCTGTCCCCCTGACCCTGGTGCACACAGTCCACCCCGTACCCAGTACACTTTCCACACACAGAACACAACATACAGCGGTCATGTTTCCATCGGTGTTTACCTGCAAACATAATCATATACATGTACATGTGCCATCACATGTGTGTTGAAATTTCTCAATATGATGTTCGAACTACATGTAATTTATGGGACCAAAAATTGATGGGAAGATGTGGAAAACATTCAGTGACTAATAATTTTTAAAAAATCTATCTAACTTTACTTGCATTCAAAACTATTGGCAAAAAACAATCCAATGTAGATATATGTCCCTACCTGGAGGGCAGATATTCTCATCCGGTTCTGTCTCCTCTTCCTCATCAGCCATTGTCACATTGTTGATCACTATAACATCAAAAAAGAAATAAATACATGATATTTCTTTGTTTTATTTAAATGACAGTGAGTGACATACTAGTATGATAAGCCTCTGGCATTTGAATTTTTAATTAATATGCATTTAATATGCATATTGGTAACTGGACTCTACAACGGAATTTTTGTGCTTCTGCATTTTACAATTCATTTTGACACACACATGTAGATGAGATTACAGATAATATAGGATTAAAATTAGGGGATTTTTGATTGAACCTTGATTCAGTAAGTGCCAAAATTTCCCCTAAATACAGTATACTGTTTTAGTCAAATTACAGCATGTTACAATCCACTGACCTTCTCTGCTGGCCGCGGATGGGAAATCTCTGCCACACTGTCCTTTGTTGTTGATTCCAAATGTAAACACTTGACCTTTACCACTTAAGGCTACCACATGTGCTTTTCCCAAAGCAACTTGGGTTATTTCATATTTCTTCAGCTCTGTCACTAACCCTAAATATGGTTAACACATAACTTAGTCATTACATATGTACATGTAACTTCATTCACAAAATAAAATATTACATATATACCCTCTGGAGTTAGACGGAACAGGTGACCTAATTCATTTCTCTACAGAGGAAACAATCAGCCATATTTTGGAGCTGTTAGAAAATGGAAATAAAGTTCTTGTTGTCATGAATGATGCAGTTCTCAGAATGTTGTTTGAAATATAAAAGCCTCCACTAGTGCCTTGGCTTTTATGTTTCAAAACATTTCTTGACCTCAGAGGTTATCCTGCAACATTCACAAAAAAGCGAACTTTATTTCTTATATCATCACCAAGGGGGAGGTGAAGAAGGATTTTGAGCGGGATATTTTTGAATTTAATTAATATATGCACTATTTCAAAGGATTACAATCAATTTAAAACTGGATTATAAGGCTTCAACATGAAAAGTGGCGTTCAGCTCTATATAGTTCAAAGTGGATCATTGTGATGGTGTGACACAGCTCAAGATACCTTGTCAGTGTATTTCTGGATTCAGTTTCTTCAGTTGTAAGCCTATACAGGTAACTCATTTTGATATCTTATTCTAATGTTCTTTGAGGAATGAAAGAAAATAATTTTCGGTAATTATAGCCAACCAGTTTTCAAAATTTTTGGCAATGCAATGCCGCCACACTTTCATTAAACCTGAAGTTGAAATTCTTATAAATTTTTTTAGATTAATAACCCTATTTCTTACCACTGCTCGGATCACAGAATGTGGTATCCTTGCCAAAGATAAACAACTGTCCCTCTCTGGTTACGACAGCACTGCTGCCATTGTTACAGGCAGCGTACATAACAGTTCTTGACTCTAGTCGGATCATCTTACGAGGTTTTACAGCTTTTGGTTGTCTCCTTGCTTTTGCTGTACAAGGAAAGTTTGTGGTTAAAACAAAAAAAAATCTTTTAAATTGATTATTTATCAAATTTACTCTGAAGGACTTAAAGGTATAGAATTATAGATTCCATGAAAAATTTGACCAACATACTTGATCCTATTACCAAGACATTTTTAAAAAAAGAAATCTTTTGACACAAGAGTAATTTACTTTAAAGGCATTTCTTTTCCAAGGTGTTCATACCAGTGCTACATTATGCATGAATGTGAACAAAGAAGCACCGATGCTATACTTCTCTTACAGACACTGGAGTCGCCATCTTCTCCTCTACGAGATGTCCCCACAAAGAACACACTGCCATCCTCAGCCACCATCAGGGCATGCAGTCCCTCATGACCAGTCACCACCTGGACAATTTTAGGGGATTTCGTAATGGGCAGCTCTGCCCACTTCCCCTGGGCAGGTCCACCTTGTTTGATTCCAAGACACTGGGACTTGCCAGTGTAAAGCACCTTAAATATACATAAAAGACATGTTTAACAGATATCTGTAACATTTGTTCAACTTTCACAATCAAGAATCATACTACCGAATACAGGATTATTTTTGCCCAGTGTTACTTATCACCCTTTCACATTTCCAAAATTTTGCCCTGTTTTAAAGTCCATCAGACACACTTCTGTTTAAGAAATTATGCTATCTGAATTTGCCCCGTTTTAAATTAGCCCTTTTATGCCGAGGGTGACCGGGGCAAATATAAAACAGAAATGAAAATTTACCTGGTTACAGTTCCTGTTTTTAGCAATGTAACAAAAAGGACACAGTATTTCCAATACATTAATGTAGTTTACCTTTCCTCCAACAGTTCTGATGAGGGCAAACTCCTTCCCAGCAGTAACACAAGCTGACTCTTCATCAAAAGATGTCACTAAATATATAAAGGAAACATCAATTTACTTACAGAGTCATAGATGTCACTGTTTTATACAGAATTCTTTCACATGTATGTACATGTAGTATACTGAACTCATCAAAAACTGCTTACTCTCTTGATCTCTTTTCATTTCTTTATTATACAGGTATATCTCAAATGGTTCTTAAACTGATTTGACATACCTATCCTACTTATTCCAATTTTATTATTGAATAAAAATTTACATATTAAAATAAAAGCCTTCAAGGAAGACAGTATGTGAATTCACCCAGAATAAGATCCATCATTAACATGTGACAAGTACTGGAAGTATGATTTGATGTTAATGAATTGACAGTACTTACCAATAGGATGCCTGTTGATTTCACTGTCATACCCTGACTGACCTAACACCTCCAGGCACTTTCTGGTCAGTTTCAGAGGGATTTCATTGACCACTGTCATAGGAGTCTTGTTAGGGTCAAACATTCTCACTACAAATGTGTCCTGTAGAATATCAAAAGCAAACAAAGTAAATCATTGACATTCTCGAGGGAGACATAAATAGAGTATAATACTTGTAGAATACTATCATATAAATGTCTTACATCCTTTGCTGCAACAATCTGACCTATGTATTCACCATCACTGAACAAAGCACTTGGTCCATTGCTTTTCCCTGTAATGGAATTTTTGCAGCCACTAGAATGCCATCTTCAATTTTCATAAAGCATAATTTCAACATTATATTTCAGTCTTCTCAGTAAAAAGGAGGGATGATTGTCATATACTCACCATCCAGTTTGCATGCAGAATGAACTTCTAAAGATTTTGGATCCACCACACACAACTGGGGATGAGCATTGTCATCACTTCTACAAAACAGTTTTCCCTGAAAAGAAGAAAGAATAAAAAAGTAATTTCTTGCATAAAATCTGTAAAGCACATCTCTTATAAACTAGTAAATAATTGGTGCTAGGAAGACTTTTAAATAAATTTCGTATTTAATCACATTGATTGTACCAGTAAAATTATAAAAGTTTCATTCTATTTGACAAATTCCCACAGAAAGAATTTTAACCTACCCCTGCATAAGCAAGCCAGACATTGACAGTCACTGGAAAATCTTCTCTGTGTTGATAAACATGTCCCTAGAAAAAGACATTCTACATGTATAGAGAGAGACTAAATTAGTTCAACTTCTATACTGTAGATTCCTTTACTTTAAGCAACTACTTAATATCACACAATGACTTGTGGTAGTAAAATGGAGAAAACTTGACTATGTGAGTGGATTTTTGATCAAGTATGTTTACATGTATTTCAGCAATATGAAAATAAAGTGAGTGATTTTATTTCATGAATGGTGCCTCTCACTAAGTTACATGATAATAAATTCCTCAGGTATATTTAGAAATCTACATTAGTCAGTGTAATATGTAATTTAAAATTTCATATAAAATATTTTTATTTATTTTCAAGATCCAAATAAAACTTCAAAATACATGTAAGTTATACCCACAACACCCCTTTAAACATTTAAGACTTTTAAATAGTAAGTAGCTGAATGGTTAGGTACTTTGATTGTTGATCCATATCCAGATCCCACTTTAAAGAGGCCACTAGAGTTGAGAAGATACAGGTATTGTCCATCACAGGCAATCGCGCTGGGAATGTTATTCAGGCCATTGGCTGAAAAAAGTAATCAAATATCAGTACATGTACATGTTATTCTTAACTTCATAAAATACTGAGTATCTGTAGTTTGATCATGTTCATCTTGAATGAAATGATGTCAATTTAAACAAAACGAGAGGCCCATGGGCCACAATGCTCACCTGTGTAACCAATTATGGCCCCACACTACTCCAGGGGGCCATGATTTGATTAATTTAGAATTTACCCTATCCCAGGAAGCTTCCAAATAAGTTTCAGCTTTTCTGACCCTAAGGTTCTTGAGAAGAAGATTTTTAAAGATTTTTCCTGTATGTTTCAATGTAAAACTTGAATTCCCTATTGTGCCCCTGCACTATCCCTGGGGACCATGATTTGAACAGTTTAGAATCCACACTACCCTAGGATGCTTTCACATAAGTTTCAGCTTTTCTGGCCCAGTGGTTCTTCTGAAGAATTTTTTTAAAAGATTCTTCCTGTATATTTCAATGTAAAACTTGGATTCCCTATTGTGGCCCCATCCTTCCCCAGGGGGTCATGATTTGAATAATTTAGAATCTACACTACCCTAGGATGCTTTCACATAAGTTTCAGCTTTTCTAGCCCAGTGGTTCTTCTGAAGAAAATTTTTAAAAGATTTTTCCTGTATATTTCAATGTAAAAATTGGATTCCCTACTGTGGCCCCACCCTACCCCAGGGGGTCATGATTTGAATAATTTAGAATCTACACTACCCCAGGATGCTTCCACGTAAGTTTCAGCTTTCTTGGCCCAGTGGTTCTTGAAAAGATTTTTTAATGACCCCACCCTATTTTTGTCTTTTCCTGATTATCTCCCCTTGGAAGAGGGCTTGACCCTTCATTTTAATAATTTATATTCCCCTTTACCCATGAATGATTTGTACCAACTTTAGTTAAAACTGGCCCAGTGGTTCTTGAGAAGAAGATGAAAATATGAAAAGTTTACAGATGGACAGACAGATGGACGATGGACAACAGGAGATCAGAAAAGCTCACTTGAGCTTTCAGCTCAGGTGAGCTAAAAATATGATCAGTGTATACTTGGAAAAATTTTGTTCCCATTATTTTTCTTTTACCTATTTTGGATAAAATTTAAAATCTATTGTTAAAAACTGAATTTGAACAATTAAAAACAGGCAAACTAAATATTTCAATGCTGTTAATCATTTAAGCTGTTAGAAAATAAAAGAAGGGTTAAATGTCTTTACAATACACTTATTGCATGCAACTGGCTTTTCCTCCTCTACCTTTTATCTTGAATAGTTTTCACAATGGACACCTCTATAGTGCACACTTACTGTGATGATATCCCATTAAAGCTTCTACAGGGAACTTGTCAATTCTGGCTGCTGTCTTAATTCCCTGGCTGAACCAATCAGGTAGTGCTGATTTACCCAGAAGTACTGCCTGGACACTCCTCTGTAGTAGGGTCAGGATACCAGGCACCTGTCAAAAAGAGCACCAGTTTATAAATCATTTTTATTAATTGGAATTGAGAGTAAACATTAAAACCTGTTTTATTAACTCACAGTCAACAACTACATATAGTTTGTCCTGATCAGATAAAACTTAAAATTATAAGATTCACTGTAAACCAACTATTTTTCGCGACATTTTTTATTCGCAATTCTTCAGTTAAGAATCCATCCGCAACTACTAATTTCTGAGACTGAGGCAACATTCTACATAAATACAAAGGTGAATAATTGGTTCGTGATGCTAAATATTCGCGAGTACAAGAAGTTCACGAAACTCATGAATATTTCTCGCTCGCAAATAAAAGTTGGTTTACAGTACTTTGTTTAAATAAACTTTTCTGTAAATAGTGTTTTAATTCCAAATGAAATCTGAAAAAATAGTACAAACCATGATTTGATGGGACAGTTGTGGTCTGGGATTCATCAGTATGGCTGACACAGCAGTGAGTATTTTACTGGTATCTCCCAGAGCAATGACCAGACTAATCAGGGAAGAACAGGCCAAAGAAGGCAGGTCAGGGTCAAAACTGGGATTACACGTCAACTCCATCAACAGTTCAAACAGTCCAGCTACAATAAATCCCATTGCCTAATCTTAAATTTGTCTTAATCATGCCCTGCTTTAAACCTCCTAAGTATATAGATGTACACATCAATTATACAGAAATGTCCATTTAAATCATCTCTTATTTTTTTTATTTATCTCTTATGTTTCATGAAAATCTGCTATCATTTGTCTTATAACAGTGTTTGAAACTCACAGTAAGATTAGAAAGACACACAGGGCTGACTGCTGATAAAAGTTGTCAGCCCTACCAAAGATTTACTAGCCCAAGAAAAGTATTGTCTTTTTAAAAAAATATTCTTATAACATATGTAAACACATATAGGTTGTTACATATCATCTGCCTTGCAAGGGGCCTGCACCCTGGAATCCTAAAAAGTCATTAAAAAGGTATCTCAGCTCTTCTGTGACTAGGATTCAGTCAGCATAACTTTGATCCCGATTATATAGATAACGAGTTCTGCCACTCAGCTTGTTATGGTTTGCTATCAGTTGAGTGAGTGGATTTGATAAAGATTTATCAATGTTTAATAAGTGAAAATTTTAACATGTCCAACCAGGCACAAAAAAACAAAAATACAAAAAAAATTCATTGCCAGAAGCAAAATTTATGCACCAGGAGCTGTTGGGTGCATGGTTATTTCAAACACTGCTTGTAATCTTTTTTTCAACTACATGTAAATGATAAAATAATTTTTACTGGTAAGAACTTACACACAACATCTAGTGGTTCTGTCTTCATACTCTCTGGGTACTGTCCTTGTAATAGATCTAACAAAGCTCTCAGAGCTTTGATACAAAGGTCAGGGTACTTATTTCTGGTTTCTCTAATAAGCTCAAAAACCCCACACAGGCCCAGGCCAACAATCTATAAATAAAATCAACATTTAATAAATATAAAACGAACTGTGTAAACTCCTTCCATTTCACTATAATGAAATACAACACTGTAATTACAACTTGTTCTTATTAAAAAAAAAGCTTCTCTATGTCATTTGATAAAATTACATGCAATCATTAATAAAGAGTGAAAATACTGCATGAAAAACCTGAAAAACAAAATGTCACCTGTGGGATTAAGAGAGGATTCAGAACATTCATATAAACAGTACCTTTGGCAATTTGATGGCCAGTTCTTTAGATTTTTCCTCTCCTTCTTCATCACTGTCAGAATCTGTAGCTGGAGATATACTCTGGTGGTAGATATGAGTGGCTTCATTCATGCATTGTTCCAATACAGTTTGTCTTACTGCTGCATACACAGTAAACAGGGAGGGGTTGGCATAAAGGTCAACACTTATCCGATGAATTTCTGTTGATTCAGGACTTTTGTCTCTTTGCTAAAGAAAGGAGAAAGGTTGGGATTGAATAAAGAAGCCATCATGTAAACAAAAACAGAATCATTTAAATACAAGCTTAATGACTGTTTGAAATCTGAATTAAATCTGTCATTGTGATACCTACAAATGCATGCAAATTCTCAAACTATATCATGTAGCATTCCATTCATTCTAAATAATTATTATAAATTTGAATCTATCTACACGTAGATCTATCAAATTCTGAAAATGATGAAAATCTTCATTCATTTCCTTACCTTGTTCTTTTTCTCTTTAGATTTGCTCTTGGATTTCTTCTTTCCTTTTTTCTTATCATTTTTCAATTTTCTGAAAGAAAAAAAACATTGCAGACTTAATTAGTTCTTTTGTAAATACTATAGTAAAACTTCTAGAGAAACTTGTCATAGTAGTAGTGTAGTACCATGCAGCCCTTGCCTCAGCATACATAATTTATCATACAAGTGTCATACTGCCCAGCATACATATCTTATCATACATGTGGAATAAATAAATCATGTATTACAGCAAAATGGATTAGATGAAGGAGAATTATGAACAATGGGATCATGTTGCTTAGGATTTTTTATTGGTTTGGAATTTAAAGCAGAAGTAAAAATTTGGGGAAAATATCATGCAGCTTTTGAGCATTGGGAATGGGGCACAATTTCAGCTCCCTATAGACACTACAACAGCTGCAAAACAAAACTCTGGTTAAGGATTGTAATTATAATTGGAATAGAGATCAATTTATACTTTTGATACAGTAACAAAGAAAACATATGCAAAATTTGCCGAGTGCCAGAACGAATTATGTCATTATAGACGGGGAAATTCCCGATCCTCAGGTCTTAGGGACAACTCTGAACATTGCATGTAAATTCAAAGTGAAAAAAAGTGGAGAAAAAAGGTTGAATTTTCCTCTTTATATGGATTTGGGGGAGGGGGGGTTAAAAGGCATGTACAAGCTCAAAAAGAATAATTATGGTGAATTTGGTTGTAATGTACAGTGCAACTCCTTTTTTATTCTTCAAAATGGTCTTGAAGCACATCCCCTCCGACTTGCTACATTGCAACTTTGAACTATGTGGGACATATTCAAACTGTGGTGAAGGCTTGTCCCGAGACACAGTTAGATTATATTCTGACTAATAAATGAGATGCATCACACCTGTCAATATTATTAATTTACATCCCGGTATTATCAATATGCATATTTTTTTAATATAAAGCTTTTGTATATTTTTCTTTAATTACCACACTTACTTGTTTTTGATGTTCTCTTCATCGCACCACTGAAAGAGGTTGTGGAATTTATCCCTAAGGATACCTCCTGTTAGGAGCTTGGACAGCTCACTCCTGGAAGCTGGAGAAATCTGCAAAGTCGCCATTTCCAACCTACTTTCTTACAGATCTACTGAAGTAACATATTTTTGCATTGCACCCAATATATATTTTCTTGATCTGGAGTTTTCATAACTTGTATTTGCTAGTCATTCTCAAAGCGACGTAAAATAATGTCATGCAAGAAATGAAAGTAACGAGTATACGAGATAGGTTTATAGACAAAACGATTATTTTTAAATGATGTAGGAATTGAAAATAAAAGTACTTTAATTCCAGAAAAGTCATTATTATTGGAAAGAAATGAAGAATCATTATACACTCTCCTGCTTTATTACCTTAGAGAGTATTAATACAACCAAATTTATATTCGTTTTGATAAAAATATTCTTAACGTAAATCGATATCTTCTTCGGAGATTTCCGAGAGGGTCAATCGGAAAAACTTCGGCCTTTTCCGTAAGTCACATAGACGGAAAATGCCGAGGAGGGTTTCCGATTTCGAATAGTAAGTTAAGGAAGCTCTAAACACTGCACACTAAAGAGTTCTATTTGTAGGATAGTTTTATTGAGTTAGAGTGATCTGCCCTTAGAAGAAAAATAGAATAAATTGGAATCTGCAGTTATTGACACAATTTCTTTTGAATTAAAGTATTCTTAATGTTAATATTGTTAGACCAAGATAGTTACTGAATACATTATTTCCATTCATTTCAGTTCCAGATACATGTAATCAACAGTGATTTCTGTTGACAAATAGTTAATTGTATTTGAACATTTTTTTCTGCAGAAATAAGGCAGGTACCCTATATTGAAAATGAACTAGATACAATGAATATGTGCACCTTTATATGATATATTTTTCTCAAAGTCCAAATAGCACTTTACATTAGTGTTTAGAGCTTCCTTAAGTTTTGAAGACCATCTTCTAGAAGAATCTAAAGCAATTGTTCATTAATTTTTAGCGAAAACTTAAATAACGTTTATAATAGATTCAGGCACGTGCGTAGAATCGTTTTTGAAGGATCGAAAGGGGGGGGGGGTTGACAATATTTACCAGGGGAAAAAAAACAAAAAAATAAACAACAGACAAAATAATAAAATGAAAAAAAAATTAATAAAAAACTTTGACAAGCAAAAAAAAAAAAAAATTAAAAAAAAAAGTGTACAAACTCGAAAATCCTATTTCGTTGAGGTAGTGGGGTGGGGTTCCAACTTTTTTCACAACCAAATGTTAACATTATCCCCTTACCCTGATTTGACTTAGCTGCAGATCTGTAGCTCGCTGGACTAAAAAAAAAAAAATCGGATGATGAAATAGTTTAATCTACATCTCATCTGTTGAGAATTTTAATGACCTATTATGATCATCATTTTAGTTTAACTAAGTTAAATAAATACATTTAAGAACCCTCTATACACTAGAGGAAAATATTTTTTGGACATTCAGAAAATTATAATGTGTAAAGGTGTAAGTATTGAGCTTATCTATCACATTTTCAACATAGGGTGCCTTGCATTTACCCCCAGGAAAAATGTTCAAAGACAATGAAGTACTGATGAACATAAATCACTGTTGTTTACTTAAGTGGGCAAAATATCTGCAAATGAAGTGTTCTATCTATTCATCTTGGCCTATTAAAGAGCTATGAATGCTTGATTTGATCACAAATTAAGTAATAAAGTGTACATTTTAATTTATTTTATTCTTGATCAAAGGATAGATCACTCTATTTGCATAAAAATACCACAAAATCAGAACTCTTTAGTGTGCAGTGTATAGAGAGCTCTTAAGGACCCTAAATACACCGGTGCAAAATGTTTTTTGGACATTGAGAAAATTTTACTGTATAAATGTGTAAATATTAAGCTTATCTATTGAATTTTCAATATATGGTACGTGGCATTTACCCCCAGGAAAAATGTTCAAAGACAGCAAAGTTTCAATGAACAGAAATCACTGTTGTTTACTTCAGTGGATAAAATATATGCAAATGAAATATCCAGTTAATTTATCTTAGCCTTTTAAAATGTTCAGAATGCTTGAATTGATCACAGATTGAGTAATACACTGAAGATTTCAATCTATTTGGTCGCCCGCGTGGCGCAGTGGTTAAAGCGTCTGCTCTAGAGTCGCGAAGTAAGGAGTTGATCCTTACGTCGCGGGTTCGAATCCCACTGTGGGACGTGGAGACCGGTCCTTCGGATGAGACCGTATAAACCAAGGTCCCGTGTCGCAGTAGGTGCTGGCACGAAAAAGATCCCTCACTGCTCAATGGCCCAAAGTGCCGAGTATAGGACAAAATTTGCAGCTCTCCACCGGCAAGTGGTGGCGTCTCCATATGAGTGAAAAATTCTCGAGAGGGACGTTAAACAACAATCAATCAATCAATCAATCTATTTGAATTCAGATCTAAGGGCAGATCTTTCTAACTGCAGAAAAATACCACAGAATCAGAACTCTTTAGTGTGCAGTGTAGAGAGGGTTCTTAAGGTAGTACAAATCTTTGTTAGCCTTGGACTTTCCGTAGCCTAGGGCGTGACATTTTAGACGCTTGTTAATTACCGTCAGTCAAATGGTGATCTAGATTCTCATTGGTTAAGAAATTTGTAGCATAAGCAACTTTAGATTGTTGTTTACAAACGATGAGATCACTTAAGCCCCACCTCTTTACCGTACGAAATCTTGCTACACTCGTTGACATCTGCCCGAATTTCTAACCCAAGTATATTTCATCCGTAAAAAAATGTGTAAATTTCAGTTTGCCTTTGTATGTAATTTGACCGAATTTCAAATCAAATTTTAAAAATGACGATCAGACACACTCTAGCATTGTAGTTAAAATACAAGTGTAGAAGCGTAAAATAGGGAGAGACCGGGGGAGGGGTATGCAGTATGTATAGGGTATATATGTGTGATTAGATCTTTAGATAAATATTATATTGAAAAGAGATGGGTGAAGAAGGCGTGCAGAATGCCTATAGCTTCAGATATGTAAAAATTATATTCAATTTGTGAATTTAGTATTTAAAGTAAAGTTATCATTATTGAAATTATGATAAACAAAACTTTTCTGAGGAAAATTTTCTCTGCAAAAATTATTCTGTTATTAAAAAATTATGTGATATTCGTGGTGTTCGAACCCTAGCAATAAAAATTCTGAGTATCATTTTCCTATGAGACTAACACGCTAGCCACTAAACTACACAGCTCCTGATGAATAGTGGCATTTAAATCATGTTTGTGATATGACCCATGACTAAATGGACTTCAAGTATTACTCGGAAAGATGCGAATGTTGTGTCATAAAAGTGTATTTTTAAGGTACAGTGGGTCTTTGCTCCATCTTTTTGTAACCAACAAATGTATATTTTTACGCAAACTTTGACGATAAACTTAAAAAAAAAAGGAGTGAAGACCCACTCATATCGAAAAATTGTGTTACGGTATGAGAAAATGATCCTTTTTGTCCTCTTTAGTGTGTGTATACTATTTCATAGGCAAATAATTTCTATCTTTGTGAAATTTTTGCAAATTGTGGAGATTTTACTTAAAGTATACTTTAATATTAAATGAAATATCAAAGAAAATGTTGTTATAATTGAGATTTAATTTTTCACCTTCATGTTTGTCGCACTATAGGCACTTCGCTCGCCTTGTTCACCCATCTTCTTTAGAAACAGATTTTTTGTGTGATGAAAGTTATCAACATTAACCATTTTCAATTCAATTCAACATATTTACATTTGCCAATGTCTTTCCTTATATAACAATACTAATTAAATTGAAATTCAATTTTCAATGACATGCAGTTGGTCACATGATCAGACTCTCTTGCGTTTGGAAAGCAAACTGCAAACTGAGTCATTTGGAAAGTTCCGATTGTGACGTCGCATGACGTCGTAGGTACGTTATGTTGCATTTCCATGGCAAAGTCTGAATAGTGCCTATATTTCTTTGTAACACGAATAAAAAAGTAAAATATAAATATAAGAAATAAAATATCATTTTTTAGTTTCATTGGGTTATGACATGAAGTCGGTACGTGATCAAAACTACTATAACGCCCTTCAGGATTTGATCATGTGACTTACTTCATGTCATACTCCAATGAAACTCTAAAAATAATATCTATTTTCACATAATTTATTTGCATAAATAAGATAGAGTGAGACAGTAACTAATATTACTTAAAAAGAGTTAGAGTTCATGCACATGGCACAGCCAATGACGAATTCTTCTCCGGTAGGAGGGTGCTCTATCCCCAGAGGACATTCGGAGCCTGAAAGCTGCTTGCCACAAGGACCTGTGAAAAGGAATTTCTCGTTTAAAGGAGAAATATTTGAATACTATTAATAAATGAATATGCAACTTCAAATTTTGAAAAAAATGATGCTGTATTTTTTTTTCAAAAAATAAGAATGACCGCTTTTAGCATACATGCAGTTGAAATTGCATACATCTAGTTGTCGATTCAGAATATGAAAAAGTTGAAATCTATTGTTTGGGACCTTTTCACGCACCTGCCGGACACTTTGGCAAGCTCTCCTTTGGTTTGTTGCAAACAACTGTATGATTATTATGGCAAGTATCACAGAAATGAGTGGTACCAAAACAATGAAATAGGGCCGGCGAACAGCAGTAGCGGCATTTATGTAGTAGGTAGTCAAATCCATGCTGGGAACACACCTACAAAAACGCATCATTCTGATAAGACTATAAGAAGAACTTCAAAACTTTGCAACTGCAAAAAAAAAAAACAAAACAAAACAAAACAAAACAAAAAAAAAAAAACAAAAAAAAAAAAACAAAAAAAAAACAACCAAAAGTAAACCCAAGGCCTGTTCATCTAAGATGTACTAGCAACCTTAATTGTCACTTTCGGGATCAAACAAAATGATATCATAAAAGACTCGCGGGTAAAACGCCTTCTTATATGGTTTGAAAAAAGAGTAAACTTTCTTGAAAACGTACCTTGTTTTTGGTGGTATCACTACACAGTGGACAGATCAATTCTTTTGGATCCGCCTCCTCTACCTCGTCCTGGCAACGTCCCTCTCCCCCAAAGTAAGGCTAGAGAGAATAAAATCTATCAATTTCGCCATATTATGTTTTTTGCGTCGTAACAACCAATGCAAAATTAAAATTAAATTAGTTTAAAAATGGAATATATGTAAAAGTACCTGTTTACATTTTGAACACATGTAGTATGCATATTTGTCCATTGCAAACCCCACCGGGTCTTTATAATATTTCCCACATGGCTGGGTGATGTCTTCGGTTTCGAACAATCCGTCATGCTGGAGACGGGTCAGTGCTTTAGTTTTTATTTTTTCATACAGGTGAACCAAAGGTGCCATTATTTCACAAAGGTCAGGATGACTTATCGAAATCTTTTGAAAAAAATTCAAAATGGTAATTTGAGCACACCTGCATGTGTGATGTCGTTTGGATACATATGTTTTTTTCAGTACTGAATTTTCAGTAAGTCTAGTTTTTGTGTACCTTACACAGAGGACATAGCATAAATCCAAACGTGATCTTCGATCCATGCCAACGATTCATTAACATTTTTCGGATACAGTCATAATGGAACAAATGTCCACAAACAATCTGGGGAAATGAAAAATACAAGTTTTCATATTAGGTCTATTTGACAAGAATTTATATTATGCGTTAAATTGTTCTTAATTTTAAAGGAAGCAAAACAGAAAAAAAAAATTGGTAGCCAAAGGAAGTTTTATACATCTTTTTACTCAATGGAGAGTATACAGTATCCCTACTCATTTTTGTCTCAAAATTGAAAAGAAAGATTTTTGGCAAAATATAGCTACCTGTATAATAGGTTTAGATGTCCAGGGTTCAGTGCACACTATACAGTAACCATCTCCATAGTAATTTTGATCCTGACATCCTTTCACCATACATGGTGCACAAAAATTTTCATTAGGTATGCCCCCGCAATAATGTCCGCATGCCAATGGACGCTGACAAGTTCTAAAGGTTTCCTGTGAATATATAATATTGAAATTAGACCGAATCTATATATACAGCAGATTTTGTTAAATTATCTTTTTTTTTTTAATTCGTGCATTTTGCATATGTATATCGAAGAAGGGATCGCGAGTGGGCATGTGTGGGGTAAAGCTCGCTCGCTCGCTCGAGATTTGTGGTCGGAAGTGATAAAAATGCAAAATCCCGAGCATGCATGCATGTCAGACACTCGAACTCATTTTATTCATTATCACAAAAACAACCCCCTATCTTACGGGGGGAGGGGGGGGGGTATTTTTGTGATGGGAAAAACTATGATATGACGTCAACATGTTTAATTACAATTATTAGGATACCCACCCACCCCGCTCCAAAAAGAAGGAGTTGCATCTTTTATTTGGAAGAATGGGTTGTTTATCTTTACCATCTTTTGTATAATAATCACTTACTCGTTCTTGAGTCTGTAAAATGCAACTAAGCTTATAATTAATTAAGAACCATATATACACTGCACTAAAGAATTTGATTCTATGGTATTTATATACAGTTAGAGTAATCTGTCCTTCGATCTGACATAAGATAAATTGAAATCTACAATGAATAACTCAGTTTTTAATCAATTAAAGCATTCTTTTAAATAGACGAAAATAAACCTTGTAACCGAGTGTTTTGTTCACAATTGACCTGTTTTATTTACAGATGTGAAGTGACAGACAGAAAACTACCCCGTCCCCCATCACTAACTTTTTTTAATATATTCGATCAGTGCATATTATCTATTCAAGATATATTACTAAAGTCAGGTACTCTTCACACAATTGTTCCGAAGAAAATAGTTCCATTCATGATCAGTAGATAAAACATTACAACAAATATTAAGAATAATCATGTATATTTAATACGTTAAAGAAAACAAAATTAACGTTAAAAGATTTTCAGAAAATCACTTTTTCCCCAGAAAAGCAAATAAAAAGTTTTCATATTCCTACGCTCGCTGCCTCCTCAGTCTTTTTCACGAAAATATATAGGTCACACTTCGATTGATAATGATAAATCTTTTCACCAATTATATTACTGTCATGATTATTGTTCGTTAATTGCCGTATATTTTCTTTTGAGTTAGAATGTTAATCATTAACTGTGTGTTTGTGTTTTTTCTCTCTTTTTTAAATAACGGAATGGTTATTATGGTTAAACACTTCTCGGCAAAGCAACGTGATTTTCCGAGCTCGGAAAGATCTTTGCACGTGTGTAGACCTAGGCTATTTGGTCTTGCAACAACAGGTGTGTGCACCGTTCCCTAGTGATGCTTAGATTAGGAGACTGGGTATCAGTACTTGCTACGGACATAAAGAAGTTTAGAACTATACACCAGTTTCATAACAAGTGCAGGTTTTTTACTCAAGGTGAAGCATTATACTGGGCTAGAGGGGCTGAGTTATGGTAATCGATCTAACACGAAAATGTACTATTTTTGTAAATAAAAACATTTCTAGAAACAAAAATGAAGTTTATCTTCAAAACGTCTGTATATTCAAAATCAGTATATGGTGGAGGAATATTCAGTGATGCTCCATAGCCGCAACCGATCTCGCACTTTCCCGTTTAACAACGGCCGTCAATGCATCATTGGACGAGTTCATTGATTACTCTAAAAGGTGACAGGTTGGACCATCTTTAACATCTGCCTATACTTTGAGTGATAGTACTTTTTAATAGCACAAAATTAAAAAATAAATTAAAATCTATCCTTGATAGATCTGTAGTTTTGCTATTTATAAAAATGGGCTATCTTTGATAATCCATAACGGCTTGGACTTGTTTTGAATTTTTTTTTTACAGAAGATTCTATCATTGGAAAGTTAGATGGTACACATGTAGCACAGGCCCACAGTACGCGGGATTTTTTGGGAGTCCCCCCCCCCCTTTCACTTTGAAAACGTTGCTATAGGCCTGTAACATGCTATTTGGATTAAATATTCCTGAAAATGAGTGAGGCGTTAAATACATTTTTAATTATACGATTAATTATATTTAGTTTATGTTCTATGTGAAATTAAAACTATTTTTATGCATGTGCAACTCTGTGATAAAGTCACTACATGCATGTAACGTTATATATGTACATGCAGTTTGTTTCCTACTATATGCATATTTCACTCAACAAAAGATGTTGAAACTCAGTAGCCTAAATATTATGTCATTTTAGGATATTTATGTATATGGCAGTTTTATAGTTGACTTTCTACAGCTTGAGTATCTCTGACGTTTTGTCAGTAAATACTTGTTTTTTTATTAGAAATCATCTGAACACAATGAAAATTCGAATAAATTAAAAGTCGAATATCTTGGATATGGGGTAACCCATATCTATTCTTGTTTAAAACTGTATGCACATTCCTCTGAGGGTGTGCGGTGTGAGTGTTAAACCTAACTGCAAGAGAGAATTAAAAGACGGAAAATGAAAGAATACTTTATTACGTAATTTACCGGAGAGCTTCGAGACAATCAGATGTCTATGATGCATGAAAGGGCGAAAAATGTCAGTTTTAAATACAATCAAGGAAAATAAAAGTATTTGCACTTTCATTTTTTTTAATGTAACGTACTAAACAGTACATCTATATTTTACTCACCATTTGAGTACTTAACGTTTCCATCACTATTGCACTATCTTAAATTCTGTAGTCACTCTTTATATACAATAATACGTAACATCTATTTTTAGAAACGTACTTTTGCTATATTTTTAGAAAAATTCCATTGAAATAGCAATGTTGGAAATTCCAGCACATGAAAAATATATTTTTTTTTTAAAAAAAAATATACAGTGCGTCTTTGATTCAACTCTCTCAGGAAATCTTAATTATTAGGTAATGCAGACATGTAGATGCTATACGGAACATATAATAAATATATCTATATATATATATATATATCGTGTTTATAGACTGACAGGGCATTTTTGAAGACTGACGATTGAAGGTCAATGTATTAGATTAGAAAAATCTAACTGTTGTCTCGGGACAAAACCGGGTCCTTAAGACAGTAGAACGTTCTTTCTATCTTTGATTATAATTCTTTTGTGATATTTTACGTTCATTTATGATAAATATGCAAATTAATACGGTTTGAATTCATTTTCTTTAATGTATAATTATAATTAGCATTACAACTGCGGATTTAGAATTAATAAAAAATAAGGGGATATATTTACGAGGGTCGATCATAAAGTAGTATGTCACAACTGCTATAAAATCTTTAATAATCAAACTTTATCAAAATTTTTTTTACATACTATAATACCCCTATTTATTTTGATTTTTGCCTGAAAATATCATTCAATATATAAAATACTATTTAAAATATTAAGATAAACATTACGATTATAGGTATTGCCTGTCTCCGCACGGCAAGAATGTTACCGACGTCGTTATGACGTCACAGTTACTTTTCGGTACTCATTGTCAGTTCAATCGCACATCTTTTTAACCACTCACTGATTGTATCTAATAATATTTATTGCCAATTCGCTATTAAGCCGTATTGTTTCTAAATTCATTCCTTTTTTGCGTAAATCTGATGCAAAACGAATGTCGAAGTGAAACGTCATAACGACGTCGGTACATCCTTGCCGTGCGGCGATAGACGCGATCCAACGTGGTGTTTATTTTATATCCGAATGAAATTTTACGGCAAAAGTCAAAATAGTCAAAATAGGTATAAGTAAATAAAGTTTTGATGAAAATTCTTGTGAAATTACTTACATGTATAGATCAACAAACCCTCGTATAAAAAGTCGAGAAAAGCTTTGGAATTTTAATTAATGCGTAGCGGAGTTGAATATACCCCCCTTACTGAAATCACGAAAAAAACTCGGTTATTTTTTTTTATTTTGTTTCAAGTTTTCATATTTTAATCTAAGTAAATGGAAATTCATTGATCATTGATCGCAAGGTACTGACGTGCTTTCTTAGCAGGCGCGTAGCCAGAATGGAGCTGAAGTGTACGCAGGAAACGCCAGGGGGACTGGGGGCCGCCCTGAGATTTCCAGTAAGTCCGGGGTGAAACCCTGATGGGGGCCCAGGGGGCAAAGCCCCCCGAAAGCCAACTCCAGGGTTTTTCCAAATATTTCAATCACTTTCTTGCGGGAAATATGCTGTATCGCCTTTATCTTCCACGGAAATTTATTATACGAGTACTTGAGGCTGGATATTTTACCGATATATTGGTATCGTCTGCACTTTTTATAGTATAATGTCCAGAAACAAGTACATGCTAAAAAAAACTATCATATTTTAAATTATAAACTATTTGATTAATTCAACGATATGATTAAAATTTAATTTCTCAAATATCTTAAAAAATTGTCAATATGTTATAGAATACGTACACACTAATAGATAATTTATTTGGATTTGGTAATAATTTGATAATAGATTTCACGTTTGATTGTAAAGACATGCTATCGCAAAATTTTATTCGAAATAATATGGCCAAAAAAAAAAAAAAAAAAAAAAAAAAAAAAAAAAAAAAAAATTGAAACGAAAATATTTGCTGGATGATATTGCGATTTCTCTCTTTCTCTCATGTAGATTTTTTTTTTTTGAAATGATGTGTACGCAGTTGCATACTTGCGTATAGGCAGCTACGCGCCTGCTTAGGTTGTTAGTACGGTTCACCGTTAGTACGGGAATTAATGTTGCAGAAAAAAAAATGCATAACCCGCGTAAGCTGGTTATGCAGTTTTTTTTCTGCAATAGCTTCAATGTTAATTCCCATTCGAACAATCAAAGAAAGACAATTTAATTTTTATATTTATATTTGTACAAATAATCATTTATATTAAAGTAATGAAATATTGTATTATTGATATGTACGTCATTGTACGTTTCTTTGATGGAAGAGCCACTGCTCAAGAAATCTGTACAGGTGTTTACTGACTGATAATCGACAATGGTTTTCTTTTTAAAGAAATAATGGAGATAATACTCAATGGATGTAAATATTAAATTATTAGCATCATTGACTTTTGTTGGATTGTGAAAAATGCGATTCGGGTATTTAAAAAATCAAGACAATGAAATAAGTTTGAATGTTTATTTAATAATGTTTAAAACGAGTTGGAATTCACACACAGTGCACAACCGATGACGAACTCTTCCCCTGTGGGAGGGTGTTCTATGCCGAGGGGACAGGAGCAACCTATAAGTTGTTTACCACATGGTCCTAAAATACATGAAATAAGAAAGAAAAAAACTTCATAAGAGTCGTACTAAATGTTTTATGCACATTAATTCATAAATGTATCATAAAGCTAAAGTATATCGGTGAGTAAATGGTGTGTGCATGGTAGAATTGTGCAAGTGAGATTTTCTTTTGGAAAGAAGGGGGATACAGGAAACAAGTTGAACAAAGTGAATTAATTTATTACTTATAATTAATTGTTCTGAAGATTGATACATGTAATAGGAATTTATTTCTTATATACGAATTCTACTAACAAATAACCTATATTGTACAGATAAGAAAATAAAACTGATCAGAATGACAAACCCATCTAAACTACAGTAATTCACTATTCAACTGTAAACTTGACCTACCAGCCGGACACTTGGGGAGGCTAGATGTGGGTTTTCCGTGTACCATAGTATGGTTACTGTGGCACGGGTCACAGAAATGAGTGGTGCCGAAACAGTAATATGTGGCTAAGGAGCAGCAATAACGACATTTATACTGGAGGTAATCAGAGCCGTGCCGAGAGCACACCTAAGGAAGGAGAAGGTTCAAAGTTAACATTTACTGGATCAGGCACAAAAAGATTTGATATTTAAAGCTAAAATTTGTACAAAAGTTTTTTTTTCTATAAATAGGCTACTGATGTTTACTTTGTTTTTGGTGGTATCACTACACAGTGGACAGATCAATTCTTTTGGATCCGCCTCCTCTACCTCGTCCTGGCAACGCCCTTCTCCACCAAAGTATGGCTAAAACGACAACACCAGCATGCATGTTTAAGGATGACGAATCACATCCATTACATAATTATTTATTTATTTTTTTAAATATTACTAGTAATTTTCTGTACCTCCTGACATTTCGAACACATGTAGTATGCATATTTGTCCATTGCAAACCCGGCCGGGTCTTTGTAATATCCCCCAGATGGTTGGGTGATGTCTTTGGATTGGAACAATCCGTCATGCTGAAGACGGGTCAGTGCTTTGGTTTTTATTTTTTCGTACAGGTGAACCAAAGGTGCCATTATTTCATACAGGTCGGGGTGACTTAAGGAATTCTGTTAAAGTATAAGTATTTATCAGCAAGTTTGACAGTGTCGGATACAGGTACATGAATTTTGATAGATATTTACTTTAAAATATATGCGATTATTTCAATAAAAAAATATACAAATGCCAAAAATTAAATTAAATTATACCTTGCATAATGGACACAACATAAATCCAAACGTAATCCTTGATCCGTGCCAGCGATTTGTCAGTATCTGTCGTATACACTCGGAGTGGAACACGTGCCCACACACAATCTAGTAAAAGGTAAATGAATACTTAAATATATATTCTTGTGCTTAAAAATTATGAGTAAAATCTTTTGTCCAGTATCTGTAATGTATGCCTTTACAAGTTTGTAGAGGTATAGCTGCAATAATGTAGCCCTCTCCGATTTTTTTTTTTTTTTTTTTTTTTTTTTGGGAGAGGCCTCTCCTGAAAATATCAGATTAAAAAAAATCGGAGAGGGCTACATTATTGCAGCTAGTAGAGGTAGGACACTTTTTTTTTTAAAGAGAAGAAAGAATAATGATTGAATGTAACTTCGTACGATGTACGTACTTGAATAATAGGCTTTGATGTCCATGGTTCCGTACACACTGGACAATAACCATCTCCATGATAATTATGATCCTGACATCCCCTAACCATACAGGGTGCACAAGACTTCTCGTTAACAATGCCCCCGCAATAGTGTCCACATGGCAAAGGGCGTTGACATGTACTAAAAGTTTCCTGTGGAATTTATCCGAGTTTCATGATATGTGCATTGCAAATCAAACGTTTTAAAGAAATTAATATACCCCACCCTCCCCACTCTCTGGTATATTTTCGGCCATTGGTGGCACAGGTACTTGGGGACGGGACCCCCCCCCCCCCCCCGCGTTCCGTACCCCAAGGGTTCTTTGACTTATTTTTTAAGGTCTTCCGTTCCAACGGAAGACCTTCTACTGATTCTGATGGTTAAGATTATTAAGGTCTTCCGTCTTCAGCGGAAGACCTTCTTGTTATTCTTCGGTTTCTTTTCCACTGTTTTTCTTATTATTTTTTTTCTTACCGATTTTGTGCACGGGATTTCTCAAAAACGGTTGGCTCGATTTTCATGAAACTTTCAGATCTGATAGAACATAAAAAAATCTTGATACATATTTTTTTATTTTGATGACGTCACTTCCGGTCCGAAGATATTTGCGATTTAGTGATTTTTGGAGGGTAAGTTTGTCCGTAGGTTTTCTAAGAAACCGCTAATCACAGGAATGTGAAATTTTTAGCGAAGACAGAGCAACATATGTAGATCTGTAATACGTAGTTAACTTTCACCGGAAGTGCCCCACGTCGACGCTCGCTATGGCCTGAAAAAAGTCATATCGAGATTTTCAAAATTTCGAACACTTTCTGTACGATATCTTTTTACTTGGAAATATTTTGTTAAAACATATAGAACAAAATTTGTGCAAAATTACAAGATCTTTTAAATGGTGTCTCAAGAAAAGGGCTGGCCCCTAAACAAGGGATCTACAGGGGCCAAAAGTGTTTTCCTGATATCTCAAAAAGTGTTGAGAATTTGTTATACTTCAAAGAAGCAAAGTTGTTCAACATGACAAGTAGCAGCTTGTGAGATAATCAAAATGCGTCGAATGACGTCACTTCCGGCCAAACAGGAAGTAGTAGAAAATTGCTTATTTTCACAGATATTGGTATTGAATTGAATTATGCATGTCACAGAGGACGTCTGATTGTATTTCCTGTCGAGTATCGTCACTTCTGTCAACTTCCGGTTAAACCGGAAGTAACTATAAATGACGTATTTCTGCAGATATCAACATAAAATCAAATGATTAAATTCACCCAAGACTTCTGAACCCAATTTTCTGTCGATTGGGGTCACTTCCGCTCAAACCGGAATTGATTTGCTTTATTTAAGGAAAATCGGTATATATTTCAATCTTAAGAAAAACAAAATACAGATCGACATCATTTTTGGACTGGAGGCCTTCTTTTTAACGAATACTTTTCTTTCATTTATCCATTTTACAAGCAGTGCTTCTGAAAATCGGACGGAAGACCTACTCGTTGCTTTGCAACGAGCTTTGCTCTAGTTATTCTTTTTTTTTCTTCTTTTTCCTAGACGCCAACTTTGAGACCTCATATCTCGCTCATTTCTCAACGGATTTTGCTCAAATTTGCAGAGTTTATAGACGTTACAAAACTCTATCAGAATGCTGTCAAACGGTTCAAAAAGTCACTTCCGTTTTTGAGTTATTGCCCTTTAAATGAAAATTTATTAGGCTTCATTTCCAGACAAAGGCTCCGAGACTACAAAAGCTGGAGCAGAAATTCTACCGAATTTAGATATTAGAAGGATTGAAGTTGTGCACATCGGTTTTTGTTTTTCGATTTCTGTATTCAAAATGGCGCTAATTAGGGGTCAAAATTTAGAACGCCTAAAAGAGCGAAAATTTAGACATATATTCCTTTGTATCTTTAAAACTAAAAATATTTTGATAAGACATGTAGAATAAAAGTTGTGCACAATTTCAAGGCCTTTCATTTGACACCACTAAAAAGGGGCTGGCCCCTCAAATTAGGGATATGGAGCCCTTTAAAGTTTTTCCTTTATAACTCAAAAACGGTAAATATTTCGAAATGGCTGTCGTTAAAAAAGTTGTTCTTTAACATCTTATTGATTTCATGAAAATGTTATTTTGTTCGAGTCTTGTGTTTTAAATGCGCCAGAAGCTTGACCCATATATACAGGTAACTGTTTTCATTCAGCAAGTAAATGAGAGCTCTTCATGCGGGTAACTAAAATAAACTTACTATAAATAATAAATTTGGCTACATTAGATGCTAATATTCTTTAGAATAAGGTTCTTGAAGTGTTTTGTGCTTTATTTCGAAGTTATTTTTTGACAACTTTTCGTTTTTATTTCATTTTTTTCAAAGTCGAATAAACCAGTCTACTAAAAAAAGGGGAAAAAAGATAACCTTTTCTTCTTATCATATAAAAACAAACAATATACTGAGAAAATAAAACATAACTTTGAAGCATAGACTATTTACAGCCATTAAGTGTGCGCCTTTTACATTCACCTTGTGTGTTTACAATTATGTAACACCTCCCTCGATAGCGCGTGGCAAAGGAGGTCACCGGAGATCAATCGGGGTGTGATCCAGTGACGTAGTCATACACAAAACAAATCATAGAATGGCCATTCCAAATTCATTTTGTAAACGAAGTCATGAGTGGATAAATGTGTTGAATTTTTCAGATTATTTCATAATATCTTTGATTAAATCGCTAGTGTATTTTATTTAATATTTTATTCGCTGAATTACAGGAGAGTTGCATAGTTATTTTTATAAACAATTTATTTCTCGATATCGAGTTAATTGTCTGTTTTATTCATAATAAAATTCAAAATATGTAACCTTAATTAATTCCTACTAGTAATGGAACTTTTGAAACTTAAATGTACATGTATGTAATCTAATATACGTTCTTTTGTCGACGCCCTTAAAATGTACAACTGTATATATACAAAGCGCCCCAAATATATGCATATCGAGCGTATGGAAATACAAAATCCCACATTCACACGCGCCTCCAAAATATGTAGAATGAGACATACATGCGTAACTGTATTTGAATATTACAAATTTATTAGACACCTAACCTTGAACAATTTTTTTTTCTACTAAACTTGTTATTGTATGCGAACAAAATGATAAACATGTAATTATTTATAGGTTCCCATTATTTTTTCTGAAAATCAGAACACATTTATCAGCTCTCTTAAGGTTTTACGGATACATACAATGTACACGCATGCAAGTACAGAACATGCACGTTTTATAAGTGCATATGCAAGAGCGCCCCAAATATCTGCATATCGAGCGTTTGAAATTCAGAAAAATTCTAAATCCCAAGTCTTTTTTCCCATTATCTTTGCAATAAAATATCGGTTAAACTGAAATGGTTTTATTGATTTACAGCATATATTAAAGTCAATTATAGGTCCGCTGAGTTGATCATGAGTTGTTTTTATAACGGGTAGTCCTCCTGGGCAGTCATCGTCACGGTTTGTAACATCGTAAGTACACAGTTAAATACTAAGATGTCAATCCATATATTTTCCATAAGAAATGAATTACCGGGAGATGTCTCGTTTTCTCTGATCATAGATTAATTGACAGCGTTTATGAACAGCTGTTAAAACACAGGCCTTTGTAAACCGGTAAATCACAAAAAAGAAAAATCCGAGACAAAAAACAGAAAATATAAATGTCTCTGGAAATAACATTGCCTTTAGATAACTAAAATAAATTAATGTCCGCCGATTTTTGAATCAATCTGAACATTCATTGATGTGTACCTGTACAAGCAGTGTGTATATTTTTATGAAGCCTTCGTCCAAACGAACAATATAATAAATCTTGAATGAATTAACTAACCCCTCAGTACACACACATTCGCCTACACCTGAAATCTAATCAAAATCAGATCTTTTTTACGGCCCGAAATTCTGATAGTCGCTGTATTTCTAATATGATTGACTATACATGTACAGTACAGGCAACGCGGATCCCGTATTTCCCGTGACCCGTCGCGGTATAAACACAACGCGGGATTTGGCCAGGTGAGACAGGTAAACCGCGTTCCCTCCGCGGGAAATTCACCACCTACCTGTCCCCGCCGCGGTTAAATCATCGATCAACTAGTATCATAAACAAACGGGAGTTATCTCCCCGAACAGGAATTTTGCGAAATTCCCTCTTTAAAAAAAAACAAATTAAAATCCCGCAGTGTATGTATATTAATGAAAGTATTTTCTTTTATTTCGCAAAAGGTGAAAATAATGAATGAACAAAAAAAAAAAAAAAAAAAAAAAAAAAAAAAAAAAAAAAAATTGTAAAGCAGAATATATTTAATCGTTTTTTTTTTTTTTTTTTTAAATTTTATTTACTATTTATT